AAAACCTTAAATGATTATCCCCAATATGGTTGTTCAACCTAAGCTTGTTGTGATTGGTCCCAAACCAATGATATAATAAGGTAGACACAATTTTATGGATAACAACTTCTTTAATTCTGTGAAAAGCGACGTATAGATCTATTACCGGAAGCCCACCCACACCGACAAGTATATCCACTTCAACTCTAACCACCCTCTTAGAACCAAGACTGGCATCATCTCCACCCTCACCAAACGAGCCATCAACCTTTCTTCTGCTGACCCCAAACTTGAGATCGAACACCTCCGCCAAGTCTTCACCCCCCTCAACAATTATCCACCCAATCTCGTCGACAAAGTCATCGCCTCTGTACTCCATCCCACACCCAGACCTTCGACCCTTAAACCCGAATCAGCGCCCTTCCGCATCGCCCTCCCGTTCATAGGAAAAGCCTCCCACAAACAGCAAGCCATCATCGACACCCACTTCACCAGCTCCAACTCCCTCAACACCCTGCTAAAGCCAACGGCAGGAACACAACCAAACCCCAAGAGCCTAAAGGTGTAGTTTACAAAATTGACTGCAACTGTGGACAATTTTACGTAGGTGAAACATCCCGCCCAATCAACACCAGAATGAAAGAGCACAAAACCTCCACCATTAAATCCGACAGCAAATCAGCCATCTCGGACCACATCAGCAACTGTCCCAATCACAACGTCAACTGGGACAACGTCCAAATCCTCGCCAACAACCTCCATGACTTCACTAAAAGAAAACTAACAGAAGCAGTCCACATTCGCCGCCACAGGCCATCAATCAACAGAGATCAAGGCTATTTCATCCCATCCGTCTACTATGAACTCATCAAGCAATAATCACTTATCCTGTTTATCGGCTTCATGTCCCTATTGGCTTCCACCTATGTGTTCTCTGTCCATCGTGTTGTGACATTATCATCCCTTTGTTTTCAACACCTACCAATGTTATCCCGCTCATGTATGCAATTGTTGTTACTGTTAATCCTCCACTGTTATTCCTCCACCTACTATATATATTCTGTACTATGTCCATCATTCACTTTTCACTCAGTAGCGCAAAAACTAAAACTCACAACTCTCTCCTTCGAGTTATTTCTCTTCCAACTAAGGGAAGCTACCAATTAAACACAACCTAAAACTCAAAACAAACTAACAACCTCTCATCCCCCAAAATGGAAGGACTAAATATATTTCAGTGGAACGCCAACGGATTAGCCTCCCACGGCCAGGAATTAAAAGCTAAATTCAAACGAGACAAAGGTCCACACATAGTCTGTATACAGGAAACTAAATTCTCTACTAGATCTAAATTCACCCTACCAAACTATAACTCAATAAGAACTGATCGATCCCAAACAAACTCAGGTAGAGCCGGAGGCGGCCTAATCATATACGTCAGGGAAGCCTTAAACTACAAAGAAATAAAAATAAACACACCAAACCTAGAAGCAAACGGTATCCAAATAACAAATAACAACCTAAAAATTAATATCATAAATATATACCACTGGTTAGAAAAACAGGTCAAACCTGAGGATTTGAACACCCTCCTCCAAATAGGCAATAAATCTACAATCTTCCTAGGAGACTTTAATGCCAACCACCCTACCTGGGGTACAGAAGATAAAATAGATAAACACGGAAAACTCATCTCAGAATGGATAGAACAAAATGACCTAATACTACTAAATAACAACCAATCTACTAGATACGACAAAAAAACACCACAAAATGTCGGCTATCGACTTAACCATATGCACCCCAGATTTAGCCCAAAGTATTCAATGGGAAGTACACGGAGTACCACTAGGTAGTGACCACTTCCCCATAAATATAACTATAGGAGACGTAAACATCCCAAAACCAACCCCAAACCAGGAACCTAAATTTAGCTACAACAAGGCCGACTGGGACAAATTTCAGGAAATTTGCAACCAGGCTAACCCAGCTGACCTAGAAAGTAACGACCCTGAAATCTACTGTAAAAACCTAACTGACTATATAATAAACGCAGCTAAAAACTCCATTCCTTTCAAAACAACAAACATAGGCAAACCCTCGGTTCCTTGGTGGAACGAGGAGATAGAACAAACTAGATGTAAACGCAAATCCGCATTCAATAAAGCCAAACGTGACTTCAAACACCTAAAAATAGCACACGAACTAAATCACAAAGTACAAAGCTTAGTTAAAACAGCTAAAACTAGAGACTGGAAAAAAATTGCGAAGAAATTAACAATCATACAGACGCCAGATCAGTGTGGCGCAAAATCCACGCCATTAGGGGCATTAAACGTATCTAAAAAAAATCCCAACATAAACAATTCAACAAACCCCACTCAAAAAGCTAATAACCTAGCAAATCACTTCTCGGCCGTCAGTAGCAACAGCAACTTCAACCAAAAATTCCAGGAACAACTAAAATCAGAAACCAAATTTACCAAAGAGCCAAAAGATAATAACCTAGAAATTAATCTCCATTTCACAATGGAAGAACTACTCCACGTCCTACAAAATAGGAAAAAGGGCACAGCCCCAGGCTTAGACCTTACTTCATACCAGATAATTAAACAACTACCACCCAAACTACTCCAAACTCTTCTAAAACTCTATAACCTCATATATCTAAACGGACAGGTCCCATCACCTTGGAAACAAGCCCTGGTCATACCAATCCCCAAACCCAATAAACCAGCTGACCAGGCTAATTCATACAGACCAATCTCCCTAACTTCTAACTTATGCACAGTAATGGAATCAATGGCAAAAAACAGGCAACAACACTACTTAGAACAAAACAACATAATAAATCCAGACCAAAGCCGTTTCACTCCTGGACGCTCAACCTTAGATAACCTCGCCCGACAAGAGCAGGACATTAAAACAGGCCAACTTAACAAACAATATACTACAGGCATCTTTCTAGACTTCTCCAAAGCATTCGACATGGTTTGGCATAGATCCAAACTAGACTATGGCAGTGCCATTTAAGACACCCTAAACAAATCTCTCATTAAAAAACTAGACTCAATCCAGTATCAGGCCCTAAAACTAATCACACGAACTCAACATGGCACCTCCCCCACCTCACTCCAGGCCTTAACATGAGAAATGCCACTTAAACTACGTAGGGAACAACTTACCCTAAACTTCTGGGCCGTGTCCCATCAAATTCTCTAATCGAAAACTTAATAAAAAACAAGCCCTAGCCCGGAAAAATCCACTACTTCCTCCAATTTCCCAAAGATTAGCCAATTACCTAAATGAACACAAAATAAATAATCTTAAACAAAACAATAAATCATCCAATATTTTCACTCCAAAACTTAAAATACCAAAAATAGACACAACGCTAGCCGATACACTAAATAAACAGACCGATCCTAACATCGCTAAAACCACCACACTAGCATACATACACGAAAATTGGCCAAATTGGTGTCACATATACACAGACGGATCCTCAGATCCGATATCAAAACACACAGGTTTTGGAGTCCACATCGCACAACCAACCAAAAACACCAAATCTTACCGACTCCCAAACAACCAATCCATATTCACGGCCGAACTCATGGGCATGGCCTCAGCACTACACAATCAGCAATCTAAAAAACACCAAAAAATCCTCATCCTAACCGACTCCCTCAGTGGACTACAAGCCCTCAAAAATAAAAACACTAAAAACCGCCCCAAACTAATAAATCAAATACTCAAAAGCTCCAACAACTTAACTAAGGCAGGTAAACAAATAGAGTTCATTTGGATCCCCGCCCACGTAGGAATCTTTGGAAAATGAAAACGCAGATAAAGCAGCAAAATTATCCCTTAAAACTCCCAGAAATAAGCTTAAACTTACCCAGCTCCAAATCAGAAATCAAAAGTGTCACTAAACAAAAAATCAACAAAAAATGGCAAAATTTATACCAAAACTCAAATAGCCAAATCAGGAAAGTACTAAAAAGACAACTAACTAAACCAAAAATACTAGACCCATTAAAAAAAATCGACAGAATAATTACTAAACTACAAACAGGCCACAACAAACTTAATAATCACCGTAAAATAGCTAATCTACACACAACAGGTAACTGTCCACATTGCAAACAACAAGAAACACCAGAACACGTACCCATTCACTGCACACACTACCAAACACTCCGAACAACACTATACAGACCACCCTAAATCTTAAAACCGCACTTACACTAGAATCAATCCTAAATCCACAAAATAAATTAGAAAAATTCAAAGCCTTAGGCATATACCTAATTAAAATAGGACTAATTAGTCGCATTTAAACCCCAAATAAAATATTTAAACCAAAACTACCTAATCTAACAACCACCCAACACACACAGTTCCCTTAGTTCGTCCTCCACCCATTCTTGGCATCATTCCAAATCTCAAAATTTCAAAATTACTACATAAGCAACCCCTAAAGCCCCCCTCCAGGGTTGCACAAACTCACTTTTCCCCTTTTCGGAAACACATTAAATGGCCTGGCCGGGCCCGTGTGCGACATACGCTTGCAGTCGGAAAGCGCAAATTAAATCTCCAATATAAGTAAGTAAGTTACCCTCATTCAGTCTTGCTTGACAACGGTATAAGGATCTATACCGAAACGTCGCTTTTCACAGAATTAAAGAAGTTGTTATCCATAAAATTGTGTCTACCTTGTCATCCGTCAACTTCTAAGTAATGCCTATCAAACAATCCAATGATATAATACGTATGCATGTACGATCAGTAGCTGTCACTAAAATTCGAACTACCTGGGACAGCTGAGCCCATATATACAGAGATGGATCCAAGAATCCTATCAACAACACTGCTGGTTACGGGATCTATGTCCATAGCTCCAAACCCCAAGCACCTTCAGTTCGCCTGCCAGTCAGTATTCACGGCTGAATTGGAGGCAATTCATCATTAGACTGGTTCCCGGATCCTCCGCTTGGTGTCGCTGCACTTGTTCCGCTTTTCAATCAAAGGACCGGTATCGCCCACCATGACACATCGTCTGCTACAACAAGATGGCGGCTGTCAAAATGCATAGGGCGAAGCTAGTGAGCCCCGGAAAATTGTAGTTTTCCCAGTAACGGAGGTGAGTATTGGTACCAATATAACGGCTATGGGATGTCAATGTATTCTTTGACTAATTTCGGGCAAATATTGACACGGCAGTGTTTTTGTTTTAAATGGAGGACGATGAATCTCTTATGAATTTACCTTCTGAACAGATTATCATGAAGTTCTTACGCAAGACAATTTAAGTTTCTGAGAAATTCTGTATGAAACCGCCGTGTTGTCAACTATCTGTTGCATGGACTATTACATATGCACTTATATTCATAATTCATATGCTTGTCATTGTGTCTGGTAGTACGAAATTGTCATTTCTAGGCAACAACATGACATGGCCAAAATGTCAATGATAACACATGAAACTGAATTTTGACCGAAATAATATCTAGAAATATTTTGTGAATAGTTTTGATGATTCCCGCAGCAAAAAAATTAAAGGCAATGAAAGCACGAATAAATATTTAACTGCAAATATTTTATTGTGACAATAATTACGAAACGGGAATCATTTGAACTGGGCTATGTTTATGGTCAGATATGGTCATGTACCCTAATTTCGTGGGTATATTATTAAATTCCTGAGCATACTGAGGGACCATTTGATATTGGTGGGAGAGTGGGGTAGGGGATGGTGGTCTTGGTCTAGGATTGTGTTTGGAGACAAAACATATTATCAGCTACAGCTGAAATACCAGATATTCTTTTAATTACAACTATGAGACTAATACTGTTTTTATATGCCTCTTGCAACAATGTATTCGATGTAGCAGTCAATTTCTTTTTTTCAAAAGTTTGAAGCATGAATATTTTTTTCAAGCATATTTCAGGGACAATTTATTTTTCTCAATAAAATCCCAGCCCTACCATCAGAATATCAAATGGTTGGTCCCTTATGTCTTGTTTCAATCAAAGAATTAACATTATAAATATGATCAACTGATGAAAAAAATCAGGACAATGAATAAATCGTCAAATGCTTCATATTTAATTGAAAGGACATCAAAGATCTGTCCATATTTATAGGGTCAGACTAGACTATTATTTTTAAATTATTTGAAAAGTTCTATATAGTAATATTTATTTTTATTTATAAATATTTAATCATTTGATGTGACTTTTAAAATGTGTCCACCTAATGATCATGTTAACCAATGCATTACAATACATAAAGAGTCAGTTGAATAGGTTGCACTACTTTAACATGCAACAGGCCCTATGCAGGTACATATGATATAATAATATGTTGTTGAATGCCTTTGTGAATATACTACATGTACAGTAACTGTAATTACATCTGTTGTCTCCAGATTAACAGCTGGTGTCACATAAGGCCATAGAATGTTTCCCAGATCCTCTGCTTGGTGTCACTGCTCTTGCTCTGCTTTCCAAGGAACTAAAGGACCGTTATCGCCCACCATAAAACATGGTCTGCTTAAACAAGATGGCGGCTGACAAAACACATTGGGCAAGGCTTGAGAGCCTTGAAATATTGTAGTTTTCGCAGTAATAGAGGTGAGTACTAGTACCCACATAATGGCTTTTGACTAATTTCGTGCAAATATTGATACGGCAGACTATTATTTTTTATTCATTTGAAAATTTCTTTATAGTAATATTTATTTATATTTATTAATATTTAATCATTCATTACCATGTAATTATTAGTTGTATTCAAACTGCATACACATACATGTTTGTTTGTAGGAACTTGCATAAGAATGAAGTCATGACTGACCGTACCATAACATAGTCATTGATACAAAGTTTAGGTGGTAAAGATTAAGACAAAGCAAACAGTATTGGCCATCCTGACAAGTTTTATATGAGACTCCCTACATTATTTTATGAGTTTTGTTTTAAGCTGTTGACACAAATTTTGTATAAACATACTGATGTTGCACCATTTGCCTAAATTTAGAATATTTGAAAAAAAATAATACATAGGTAATATTTTGCAGGAACCATGCCATAATGGGAGATGGACTAGAGATGAGGAGAAATTTTTGACAGTTTGTGGAGAGCAGGGGGGTGGAAAATATCAAATACACAGAGTGGAAGGACTGTGCCGAAGACCAGAGAAATGGGTGTACAGACTGATGTAACTTTTGGGCCTATGATTGAAGTGACCTGGGCATGTAGCAGTCATGCACTTTATACCACTCATTCGCATTCCTTAATTAGATCTATGTTATCAAATGTATCAGTCAGTGAACCAGCCTCACCCGCCATACGCTCACAGATCTGCCATGTCTCTGACATACCTTCAACCGATGCCACTTCTCCATTTGGTGCCCGAACAAAACTACTCGCAACCACTTACAGTCAGTGAACCAGCCGCACCTGCTATATGCTCACAGACCTGCCATGTCTCTGACATACCGTCAACTGATGCCACTTCTCCGTTGGTGCCTAAACAAAACTGCTTGCAACCACTTACAGTCAGTGAACCAGCCTCACCAGTTGTCTGTTGTTCAATTATGCTTGAGCATAACTAAGCAAATCAAAAGAGAACCCAAATCTTATCAAAGAAAAAGATTAAAAGGCAGAAATGAATAAATGCTCAATTATCGCATTAACAGATTTCTTTGCCATTTGGCATGGATACTTTCACAAGTTCAGGAAAAAGCTGAGATGGGTTATCAATTTGCAAATGTTTGTTAATGAGGTTAATGTTCACTTGTATATTTTCACCATATATTTGGGGCCATTCAAATTGGATTGTGTGATATTAATTCTATGATCATGTTGTACTGTTGTTTTGTGCAGTATCGAAGAAAGATATTTCAGTGTTATAACTATTTATTCTTGTAACTAATATCAATCCCAGCTGTATTTCGTGGCAAAAACATACCTATTCTGTGACTAGAATTTCACTTTCACAATTGTTTTTAGTGACAATGTTGATTGATGATCACTAGTGTAAACATAAAGACATAAGCAATTATACATAATTCATATTTACTGTGAAACAAAATCAGGATATTGAGTTTATGTTACCATTTCTCAAACGAAAAATGTTTAAAAGACTGTTTGTAAATTGTTTTTACGTTTCCATTTGTCATACTAAACTTGGCATTTAAGAACAATATGTTTTCTAAACATTGGTGAATGGAGAATAAGAAAAGTAAACAATTTTTTCTAGGATTTCACTAACAAGTGTGATTATTATCACATATTTTAAGAGTTGATGAGATGAATGGTAACTGTTCAAATTTCGGGATTTGTCACGTCATGATTATTTGTAACTACCGTATTCGACGTAATAAGCGCCCTGCTCTAAAAAGCGCCCACGGCGATATTTGCTAATATATTGGCTAATGAACAATCTCAGTTAGCATCCCTTCCAATTGATTAATGTACACAAGACTTATTTATTTGTGTATAATACGCACTCGTATGTCATATGCATCCTTAATTATGGGCAATTAAATCCTGGAAAAATATATCTGTCGTATATAAACATTTCAGGCTGTCAGCATAAACCACAAAATTTACGATCTTTCAACTCAAAATAATATCCTAATAAGAGCTCCCTACTTCTAATTTTGAGAGCGCCCTGGGCGCTTATTACGTCGAATACGGTAACCTCTGTAATTGTCAAAGTGCTTCGCTACATGAATTGCCTTAGCTTATCAAACCATACTGTAGATTGTACATGTTGTAGTGTGTATATTCGAAAATATATTGAAAGATTTCTGAGTGCAATTGTTGTGGTGTTAATTTTCTTCTTGAGATGACAGTATACTGTACTAGTACTACTACTTTGGATGTACTTCACATTTCCAATAGCATTAAGAATATTATTAAATTCATATGTATGTATGTGTGAAACATCATTTTTGTCCAGTGGTCAACCATGTGCAGAAAGTCTAATAACAAATAATCTATAACCCTTTTGGGAGGTATTTTCCCTTTTGACCCTTGTAAGTAATGTTGATGCCCTTTAGATTATAGGTTGCTGCATTGTATGCAAAACCACAGACCTATGTACAAGTCCATGGCTATACTTAATCTTAGATCTCCATGTCTACATCAGTGTTATCAAATGACTCAATGTACTAAATGTTAGTTGGGATACTGTTAAATAGATTTAATAGGGATTAGGGAAATGTTTCCGAAACATGTCAAGTTTTCATAAATTGGGTATCAACAAAGTGTATCAATACCTCGCTGGTGTATACTGTTTTGTTTATAAATCTATTTTGATTGCAAATTTCACGTGCCAGGAGTTTCAGCTGCAACTAGAGGATTCACTATGCACAAAGCCTGCTGAATTTCATACTGGGCTCTAAGGATTGCACGTAAATCCCCTACTTTGAGAAAGGCCGGTCGAAAGTTAGATTTCCCCCATGATATGACACAATGCGCCTCATCAACAATAATGTGACTGATCTGAAATTTGAATATGGGGTGAGGATAATGGGACACAGTACACTAAGACATGTTTATTTATAGAAAACATTTAACAATTGTGCCATAAAATAATCACTACAACAAGGCGATTTTGGTCTTCCCTTACGACCATATCAAAGTCAAAGAGAATTAAGCCTCCTGACCACGTCAAGGTATCGCCCTTTCAGGAGGTTTACATATTAAATAGCACTATTTTCAAAACATGAAACATACATTTATTTATAATTATTACGCTGTGGCTACGGAGGCGATTGTGCTGCTCTTCGAGAATCGCATTTAGTGGATTCACAACCACTACAGTGCTGGCGGAATCGTTCACTGTATCACAACAGTTTTGCCGTAACCAGTCGGTAGAACACCCAAAACACCCCTTGATGCACATGCCAAAATAGCACCACGTTGTTTAGCCTTTAATTGGAAAAAATTACAAGATTGGTACCTGTTCGCCCGAGCCAAAATATTTGCAATTTCTATGTTACTGTTGACAGACGACACATTAGTCGCCATCTTGTCTTGACTATGTTACTGTCTATATAACCAGCAAAGGCGCTAAACCAGTTTACCGTAACGTCAAGGTGAAGGTTGTTTTACCCAATACCGGTCGTTCCAGTCTGTCGCAGGAACGAACGGGAACCAGCCTATTCATCATGCACTCAAACTCATACCGGAACTACCGGAAGCAAAGGCAGTCGTCCTATCAGACTCGCTAAGTGCATTACAAGCTATCAGCGACAGAAACTCAAACTCAAGGCCAAAAACAGTCAATAATATTCTATACGAATATGCAAAACTATTGGACCAAGGGCAACAGGTGGAGCTGTGTTGGATCCCCTCTCACATAGATATTCATGGAAATGAAAAAGCACACAAACTGGCGAAGCTAGCTCTAGATACGACCTATTCCCTTTAGTAAACTAGAGATAAAAAGCAAAATCAAAGCCTCTATAGCCCAAAGATGGCAAGGACCGCCTCCGTGGTCTAATGGTAGAGCGTCCGCCCGGAGAGCGGAAGGTCCGGGGTTCGATCCCCGGCCGCGTCATACCAAAAGACGTTAAAAGATGGTACTTGTTGTTACCCTGTCTGGCGCTCGGCATTAAGGGGCTAAAACAAGGACTGGTCGGCTCGGAGTCAGCATACTGTGTCTGAGTGGGGTATTTATGTTAAACTGCGGCATGGTATCTCAGTGTGCTAGCACTATAAATCGGCATCAGTCCGGACTAGAACAAGCAGCCACACACACACATACACGTGCATGCACGTCGCTATATAAGTGCAATAATCTTGGACGCGACGTTAAACCCCATTTCACCTCACCTCACCTCACCTCACCAAAGATGGCAAGCCCAGTGGGACGCAAGTAAGATCGGCAGATGGCTAACAAAATTCAACCAATACTCATACTCAAATGAACGGAAAGTTGAAATTGCCGTCTCACGCCTCAGACTCGGTCACAAAAAGCACTATGACAAGGTTTGTCCATCTTGCAATCAACCTGAATCCATTGCTCACGTGTTACTGGAATATCAGGACCACACCCCAGCCCGGGCTCAGTTCAAACAAGAACTGCAGTTAGATCCCCTATCTGTCATAGATCTCCTGTAGCCAAGAGATGCAATAGCGAAGGCCAAACTAATTCTATTTCTGAAAGGTGGACAGCTACTCGAACGTATATAAACAGAGCAGCGAAAGATAAAAATGAAATTATAGCAATGTACGAAAATAGAAATCATATCAATACAAAAAAAGAAAAGAAATTTAATGAATACCAAAACTCGCAATAGTTATGTGTACCCTACCCACACACATGAGTCCCAGTGAGGAGCAGGTCAGCCGAAATTGCTAAGGCAAAGGCGACCTCTAAAACACTTAAAGCAACAACAACCATTAGTATAAATATCGGTCCGGGAATGCTCTCACCTTTCTAGGTACATGGTCGGTCCCTGGGAAGTCTATTGTTTTCACCATTGTTGTATATATTTGTTAGCTGCTTATAAATATGATGTTCATGTAAATAAATCTGTGTATATTATACTAGCCGTCTCTTGTTTCACCTACCTAAGGTACCCTCTTCAGTCAGAACATGATAGTTCACCAACTCAATCACCCTCCAGATATCCAGGACATGTCAACTATTCGGCAGATATTGTGAGACAACCTAAATGCAATATTTCCTGGATTCAGCAACATTCCAGATATCACCGTACATATACATGTGGCAGACACGTACACGGATACATCACCAGACTATATAGCTTCTCTGAAAGATCATCCAGTAATGATACCCTTTATCTGGCGGACAGCCCCCCGTCCTGAAAACGTCCTGAATGTCTATACGCGTCCTCGCATCGCCGTAGTACTGCTGTGCGGCATCAACCAACAAACAAAAAAACTTCCCCTTTTATGTAAATTGTGTGAGTGGTGGGTGCTACCGGCAGGTCATGCTTACCCTTTTCGAGAACACCTGATGCCGTCACCGCTTGTTTGCCTTGTAACATTAGGACGACTGCATATGCACGATGGTTGGCAATGCGGTAATGTCCACGGGAGAATCATCTACAGAATACAGTAACGATACCAGGTCAATAACAGCATGCAGTCTTCCTAAAGCCTGCTTTCTCTGATTCTTGGTAAGACTTGGCATGGAGCTAGTATCGATACAAGAATGTTGGATCCACGTAATGGGGTGGGGTTTATCAATGCAGTCACAAGGAAAGCGCTATTGATTTTCCTGGAAAGCATTCGGTACCCGTGGGGTAATCACTAGTATTGTATACGTCTATTTATTCCGTTTATTTTATTTCCATTGACAAAGGAAATGTCAGTGTGAAGCTTCTTAAGCCCTTTGGGATACAAGTCATACATCAAATGTTTTGTTAAGCCAAGCATTTTCATTGCAAAATACACTGGTCAAAATACACATGTTATTCAACTTAGTAATCGATATTCTTTATTATACTATCATGATATACTTTCTATGTATATGCTATACTTCCTGGAATTACTATCTTGATATACACACAAGATATACTACTATCACATACACTCAACCCGTGAAGATCCGGGTTAGAAAAGGTAACTATGCTCATCGTAAGAGGCAACTGACGGGATTAGGTGGTTCTCACTCGCAGATCCCAATATCGTATCCCAATTGTGTGGATCGAAACTCATAATATCAATCGCGGGAAGTCTGGTCAAGACTCGATTATTGACAGACCACCTTCATATAGCTGGAATATTGCTGAGTGCGGCATTAAACAAGATGCAAAGAAAGAAAGAAAGAAAGAAAAAAAGAAACAAACAAACAATCATATCATATTACTACACTATATTCGCTAGGCATATATTATCATTGGGCATACTTATATTTAGGATATACTCTCCAAAACACTCTGTTATGATATACGCTCATGGCAGCACACAGTGCTACACCGTTTCACCTTCTCGACGATGCTTCCATTTTCTTCAAAGGTCTATCGTCTCAACATATGTATTTCAACGTAAACATACATTCTGATTGCAGAAATCAAATCTTCTTGAACTAATCTACTTGTACATATTATTAATGCATTAGAGAGAAAGATAATGCTGTTTCCCATCTGTTGCTGTGATTTGATGTAGCCTTGGAGACAAATGTATGCAATCATATCTATTGTGCACAGACATTTCTCTGGTCCTCCACATACAACAGGGTAGCTTCAGGAGAGGCCATTACTGTGCGTGTTTACACACAGTTACTGTAGTGACTACTGCACCTAGCCTCCACCTCAATAACCACAGAAACACTCTCATTTCTATCACAAGGGTCAAATCAATAATTCTTTGTACTGTCTTTAACATCCAGGGATCCATTATTTACTATAACATCACCTTTGGGCGTATATTTCAACCGAGAGTACTCGATAAACAACAGTTGACATCCGTTGCGTGATAGCATACAATCACACAGAGAATCATTGGGACACATTCAGGCCGCAAATGTTCTGTAATGGCCATTTACATGGTAACGGTAAACTATATTGTGGGTGTGTCGCAGATGTGGGTGCTGTCAGAGAGTTACAAGTTGCACGAGTGACCTCCTCTTAGCCGTGTCTCAGCGGTCCGGGAAGATGTTCAGTAATGTATCAACTCCTTCCTCGGGTGAAATTCTCTTTTGGGCCCTTAATGGGTATGGTGTTACGCGTTTTGACCTGATTATCAATATTGTTATCCTACTACTGGCTGTATGGATAATCGGCCTCAACAGCCTCGTGTTGCACACTATAGTGCGGATGAAGATGTCACGGGAACCCGCAGACGTATTTGTATGCAGTTTATCTTTAGCTGACGCCATGAGCGGCCTCTTTCTGCTGTACAATACCACTTACAACCTCATCAACTACCAACTGTACTACGAATGTGCTTTCAGATTGGGACTTATCCAAGTGTTGAGTTTGACATCAGTGTACCACATGGGGGCCCTTACTGTGGACAGATACGTGAAGATCGTCCAGCCCTACCATTACCCCACGGTCTGCAACAAACTGTCCGTAGTGGTTGTATCTGTAGTTATCTGGTTCATCTCTCTAATGATAGGACTATTACCCTTGTTCGGCTGGCAGAATGTACAAGAGACTCGAACTAATGGTATCGAAGAGCCCATATGTGGATATTTTGCAATATTCAATCAAACCTACCTCCAGTTTGTTGTCACCTTGTTTTGGTGCCCTATGCTTCTGATGATCGTGCTTTATGTTCATATCTTTAAGATTGCGAGTAGACACGCTCGTGTAATTGCAGCTCAAGACAGGCATGGACAGACATTGAGGCCTACAGAGAGACATTCTTGGAAATATACGAAAACTGTGTGTCTAATAGTCGGGTGTTATTTCCTGTCGTGGCTGCCAAGTGGTACGGTCCATATGACACTTTTAATGATGCAGTTGTTTTGGCCATACGCTATTGTGTCATAAGGCCTGATATGGTAGTTTGGATTTGTCAATTAAAATAAAAAGAAGTATCAAATCCAGAAACATACTTCAACAACAGAGTATATCATAATACAGTATTTCATAACAGAGTATTTCTCGTAACAGATTGAAAACGTTGAACTGTTTGTGCTTCTAGGGTGCGGTGAGGTAGTATGTGTGTGTGAAGGGTCGGGGTGGGGTGGGGCTGTGTGGTGTGTGGAATGGGGGTGACTATATTGACGTTGCGGGACGCAACAATTATCCAATCTCATACTGTGATATTTGTAAACAAAGAGATGAGAACGATATCTTTGTGCGTTGTTCTGTGACTATGTGCTATGTTGATATGTTTCGTCTGTGTTACAGGTGTCGTCATCATGCTGAACTTTAGCGGTGGGCTCGGTGACAGAACGACCGTAGAGAAGGGTACGTTGCTCCTATATGTCAGTTCCACAGCTTTCATCAACAGCCTCGTTAACCCTATAATTTATGCCTTTAAAATTACAACAGTGCGCTTGCGCTTTAAGGCACTGTTTTGTCGGACACCCACAAGTCCAGGCGACATGGGCAACAGTCAGACTGAAGCGCCAGGATGTATAGCACCCAAAACACGGGCCACCTTACTTGTGACTTCTGTTATTTCCGAAGTTGACCTCAGTGAGTGAAAGTACACCATATGCTGATCAGAAAGATCAAGAGGAAATGTTGCATGATAAAAACAATAGAATAGGCCTTCGTGTTCCTTGAATTCTACAAGCACAACAACTTTAGCGAAGAAAAAAAAGACAACTTTCTACGTTTAACCATTTTAATACACCCCATGCATGTCCCGTGTTCTAATGAAGCGCACATTATAGATTTTGTGATACTGTGCAGTGATAAATTGGTGAGAAGACTGCGGGGAACCGGGGAGACATCTAGGGAAATGTGCCCTCATACAGCTCATGTACTGCGATCACACCCATCTGTGACCCCACTGCCAACAAGAGCGTCTGGCCTGCCTGATTCACAAACCTGAAACATTGAGATGTGAAACAATAAGAGGTGAAACAGTGACAAATGACAAAAGCGGGATATGAAAAAGTTAGAAATGAGAAGATCGAGGGGTAAAACAGTGAGAAATAAGAAAAGCGAAAGTTGAAACAGTGGGGAATGAGGCCAGCGAGAAGTGAAACAGTATAGATTGAGGACAGCGAGAGGTGAAACAATTAGGAATGAGGACATTCAGAGGTGAAACAGTGAGGAATGAGGACAGTGAAAGGTGAAACAGTGAGGAACGAGGACAGCGAGAGATGAAACAGTGAGGACTGAGGACAGCGAGAGGAGAAAAGTGAGGAATGAGGACATCGAGAGGTGAAAAAGTGAGGAACAAAGACAGCGAGAGGTGAAACAGTGAGGAATGAGGACAGTGAAAGGTGAAACAGTGAGGAACGAGGACAGCGAGAGGTGAAACAGTATAGAATGAGGACAGGAAGAGGTGAAACAATGAGGAATGAGGACAGCAAGAGGTGAAACAGTATAGAATGAGGACAGCGAGAGGTGAAACAGTGAGGAATGAGGACAGCGAGAAGTGAAACAGTGAGGAATGAGGACAGCAAGAGGTGAAACAGTGAGGACAGGACAGCAAGAGGTGAAACAGTATAGAATGAGGACAGCGAGAGGTGAAAAAGTGAGGAACAAGGACAGCGAGAGATGAAACAGTGACGACTGAGGACAGTGGGAGGAGAAAAGTGAGGAATGAGGACAGCGAGAGGTGAAACAGTGAGGACTGAGGACAACGAGAGGTGAAACAGTGAGGAATGAGGACAGTGAGAGATGAAACAGTGAGGAATGAGGACAGTGAGAGGAGAAAATTGAGGAATGAGGACATCGAGAAATGAAACAGTGAGGACTGAGGACAGCGAGAGGTGAAACAGTGAGGAACGAGTACAGCCAAAGGTGAAACAGTGAGGAACGAGGACAGCGAAAGGTGAAACAGTGAGGAACGAGTACAGCGAAAGGTGAAACAGTATAGAATGAGGACAGTGGGAGGAGAAAAGTGAGGAATGAGGACAGCGAGAGGTGAAACAGTGAGGAATGAGGACAGCAAAAGGTGAAACAGTGAGGAACGAGGACAGCAAAAGGTGAAACAGTGAGGAACGAGTACAGCGAAAGGTGAAACAGTGAGGAACGAGGACAGCAAGAGATGAAACAGTATAGAATGACGACAGCAAGAGGTTAAACAATGAGGAATGAGGACAGCAAGAGGTGAAACAGTATAGAATGAGGACAGGGAGAGGTGAAACAATGAGGAATGAGGACAGCAAGAGGTGAAACAGTTTAGAATGAGGACAGCGAGAGGTGAAACAGTATAGAATGAGGACAGCGAGAGGTGAAACAGTGAGGAATGAGGACAGCGAGAGGTGAAACAGTTTAGAATGAGGACATCAAGAGGTGAAAAAGTGAGGAACAAGGACAGCGAGAGGTGAAACAGTGAGGAATGAGGACAGCGAGAGGTGAAACAGTTTAGAATGAGGACATCGAGAGGTGAAAAAGTGAGGAACGAAGACAGCGAGAGGTAAAACAGTGAGGACTGAGGACAGCGAGAGGTGAAACAGTGAGGAATGAGGACAGCGAGAGGTGAAACAATGAGAAATGAGGACAGCAAGAGGTTAAACAGTGAGGAATGAGGACAGCGAGAGGTGAAACAGTATAGAATGAGGACAGCGAGAAGTGAAACAGTGTAGACTGAGGACAGCAAGAGGTGAAACAGTGAGGAATGAGGACAGCGAGAAGTGAAACAGTGAGGACTGAGGACAGCGAGAGGTGAAACAGTATAGACTGAGGACAGTGAGAGGTGAAACAGGAAGGACTGAGGACAGTGAGAGGTGAAACAGTGAGGAATGAGGACAGCGAGAGGAGAGACAGTGATGAATGAGGAAGGGGAAAGTTGAAACAGTGTGGAATGAGGTCAGCGAGAGATGAAACAGTGAGGAATGAGGACAGTGAAATGTGAAACAGTGAGGAACGAGGACAGCGAGAGATGAAACAGTGAGGAACGAGTACAGTGAGAGGAGAAAAGTGAGGAATGAGGACAGCGAGAGGAGAAAAGTGAGGAATGAGGACAGCGAGAGGTGAAACAGTGAGGAATGAGGACAGTGAAATGTGAAACAGTGAGGAACGAGGACAGCGAGAGATGAAACAGTGAGGACTGAGGACAGCAAGAGGTGAAAAGTGAGGAATGAGGACAGCGAGAGGTGAAACAGTGAGGAATGAGGACAGTGAAATGTGAAACAGTGAGGAACGAGGACAGCGAGAGGTGAAACAGTGAGGAATGAGGACAGCGAGAGGTGAAACAGTGAGGAATGAGGACAGTGAGAAGTGAAACAGTGAGGACTGAGGACAGCAAGAGTCAAAACAGTGAGGACTGAGGACAGCAAGAGGTGAAACAGTATAGAATGAGGACTGCGAGAGGAGAAACAATGAGGAATGAGGACAGCAAGAGGTGAAACAGTATAGAATGAGGACAGCGAGAGGTGAAAAAGTGAGGACTGAGGACAGCGAGAGGTGAACCAGTATAGACTGAGGACAGCGAGAAGTGAAACAGTGAGGACTGAGGACAGCTAGAGATGAAACAGTATAGAATGAGGACAGGGGGAGATGAAACAGTAAGGACTGAGGATAGTGAGAGGTGAAACAGTGAGGAATGAGGACAGCGAGAGGTGAAACAGTGAGGAATGAGGACAGCAAGAGGTGAAACAGTATAGAATGAGGACAGCGAGAAGTGAAACAGTGAGGACTGAGGACAGCGAGAGGTGAAACAGTATAGAATGAGGACAGGGGGAGATGAAACAGTAAGGACTGAGGACAGCGAGAGGTGAAACAGTGAGGAATGAGGACAGCGAGAGGTGAAACAGTGAGGACTGAGGACAGCAAGAGGTGAAACAGTGAGGACTGAGGACAGCGAGAGATGAAACAGTGAGGAATGAGGACAGCAAGAGGTGAAACAGTATAGAATGAGGACAGCGAGAAGTGAAACAGTGAGGACTGAGGACAGCGAGAGGTGAAACAGTATAGAATGAGGACAGGGGGAGATGAAACAGTAAGGACTGAGGACAGCGAGAGGTGAAACAGTGAGGAATGAGGACAGCGAGAGGTGAAACAGTGAGGAATGAGGACAGCAAGAGGTGAAACAGTATAGAATGAGGACAGCGAGAAGTGAAACAGTGAGGACTGAGGACAGCGAGAGGTGAAACAGTATAGAATGAGGACAGGGGGAGATGAAACAGTAAGGACTGAGGACAGCGAGAGGTGAAACAGTGAGGAATGAGGACAGCAAGAGGTGAAAAAGTGAGGAATGAGGACAGCGAGAGGTGAAACAGTGAGCAATGAGGACAGCGAGAGGAGAAACAGTGAGGAATGAGGACAGCGAGAGGTGAAACAGTGAGGAATGAGGAAGGCGAAAGTTGAAACAGTGTGGAATGAGGTCAGCGAGAGATGAGACAGTGAGGAATGAGGACAGCGAGAGGTGAAACAGTGAGGACTGAGGACAGCGAGAGGTGAAACAGTGAGGAGTGGGGACATCAAGAGGTGAAACAATGAGGAATTAGGACATCAAGAGGTGAAGCAGTGAGGGCTGAGGACAACGAGAGGAAAAACAGCAAGACATGAAGCCGTGAGAAGTGAAACAGTGAGCCATAAGTAATGGAGTGAGTTGGGTGTCAAAGTGATGCAGGTCGAACATGTTTACAACATTGCTGGAACACCTAAGCTCGGGTTGTAACCTAAAAACATTATCGGGGCGAACCGGGATTCGAAGCCACGATCATAGATTTCTTGCGTGCCCAAAGGACGCAACTCCTCACCTCGATTTGCGGTGCCTTAGACGACTGGAGCACCCGTGCCCCAAGTTAGACTTGAAACAGTGAGTGATGGCGGTGAGACGGGGAACAAAAAGAGGTGAAAAAGAAGACATGCGAATGAAACATGGGAAATGAAACGTGAGAGGTGCATCGGTGAGACATAACAATATAAGAGCTGAAACAGTGAGCAGTGTAAACTGAAAAAAGCGAGGAATGAAACAGCTGTAAAAACATAAATCCTTGAATTCGAATAATCAATCCTTCACATAATCAATCGTGTCATTTTGACAGATAACAAAGTGACATGTGGTTATGGACAAGGTACTAAAGCTGAAAGCAATGGCCCGTCTCTCTGATGACGTGTGTTCGATTCCCAACATGATTACAATATGTGAAGCCCATTCCTGGGGTAGCCTTGCCGTGACGTGTCTTGAAAATCGCTAAAAGCAGCTCACAGTTTTACTCTCACTCACTCATTATTCACGAAGCTTACATATCTGTCGTAATAAAATTGTTTCGTTACAAAGTGATAGTGATAATCAAACCTGCGATAATCAAACAGCAAACGTGCTGCGTCAGTCGGCACCCAGTGTACATTACACCTAGAAATAAACAATAGTCTTACTTGCTGCGTCAATCAGATACTCATTGTACAGTGCACCTCGTAAGACACAATAATCACACCAGCTGAGTTAGTTGGCGATCGTTGTACAGTGTTCCTCGTAACAAACAATTGTCACACCAGCTGCGTCAATCGGCATTAATTGTACAGAGTACCTCGTAATAAACAATTGTCATGGTAGCTGCGTCAATCGGCACTCATTGTACAGTGTACCTCGTAATAAACAATTATCATGGAAGCTGCGTCAATCGGCACTCATTGCATAGTGTACCTCGCAATAAACAATTGTCATGGTAGCTGCGTCAATCGGCACTCATTGTATAGTGTACCTCGCAATAAATAATAGTCATACCAGCTGCGTCAATCGGCACTCATTGTACAGTGTATATCGTCATAAGCATTCGTCTTACTAGCTGCGACAATCGGCACTCAATATACAGTGAACCTCGAAATAAACAATTGTCATGGTAGCTGCGTCAAATAGGCACTCATTGTATAGTGTACCTCGCAATATATAAAAGTCACACCAGCTGCGTCAATCGGCACTCAGTGTACAGTGTATCTTGTAATTAATAATAGTCACACCAGCTGCGTCAATCGGCACTCAGTGTACAGTGTACCTCGTGATAAACAATTGTCACACCAGCTGCGTCAATCGGCACTCAGTGTACAGTGTACCACGCCATGAACAATTGTCATGGAATTGCGTCAATCGGCACTCAGTGTACAGAGTACCTCGCAATAAACAATTGTCACAATTGGCAATTGGCACTCAATTGGCACTCAATATACAGTGAACCTCGAAATAAACAATTGTCATTGTAGCTGCGTCAAATTGGCTCTCTTTGTACAGTGTATCTCGTAATAAATAATAGTCACACCAGCTGCGACAATCGGCACTCAGTGTACAGTGTACCTCGTAATAAACAATTGTCATGGTAGCTGCGTCAATCGGCTCTCTTTGTACAGTGTACCTTGTAATAAATAATAGCCACACCAGCTGCGACAATCGGCACTCAGTGTACAGTGTACCTCGTAATAAACAATTGTCATGGTAGCTGCGTCAATCGGCTCTCTTTGTACAGTGTACCTTGTAATAAACAATTGTCATGGTAGCTGCGTCAATCGGCACTCATTGTACAGTGTACCTCGTAATAAACAATTGTCATGGTAGCTGCGTCAATCGGCTATCTTTGTACAGTGTACCTTGTAATAAATAATAGTCACACCAGCTGCGTCAATCGGCACTCAGTATACAGTGTACCTCGTAACTAACAATTGTTATGGTAGCTGCGTCAATCGGCACTCAGTGTACAGTGTACCTTGAAATAAACAGTTGTCATGGTAGCTGCGTCAATCGGCACTCAGTGTACAGTGTACCTTGTAATAAACAATTGTCACACCAGCTGCGTCAATCGGCACTCAGTGTACAGTGTACCTCGTAATAAGCATTCGTTTACTAGCTGCGACAATCGGCACTCAATATACAGTGAACCTCGAAATAAACAATTGTCATGGTAGCTGCGTCAATCGGCACTCATTGTATAGTGTACCTCGCAATAAACAATTGTCATGGTAGCTGCGTCAAATTGGCTCTCTTTGTACAGTGTTCCTCGTAGTAAATAATAGTCACACCAGCTGCGACAATCGGCACTCAGTATACAGAGTACCTCGCAATAAACAATTGTCATGATAGCTGCGTCAATCGGCACTCATTGTATAGTGTACCTCGCAATAAACAATTGTCATGGTAGCTGCGTCAAATTGGCTCTCTTTGTACAGTGTACCTCGTAATAAATAATAGTCACACCAGCTGCGACAATCGGCACTCAGTATACAGAGTACCTCGCAATAAACAATTGTCATGGTAGCTGCGTCAATCGGCACTCATTGTACAGTGTACCTCGTAATAAACAATTGTTATGGTAGCTGCGTCAATCGGCTATCTTTGTACAGTGTACCTCGTAATAAGCATTCGTCTTACTAGCTGCGACAATCGGCACTCAATATACAGTGAACCTCGAAATAAACAATTGTCATGGTAGCTGCGTCAAATAGGCACTCATTGTATAGTGTACCTCGCTATAAATAATAGTCACACCAGCTGCGTCAATCGGCACTCAGTGTACAGTGTACCACGTCATAAACAATTGTCATGGAATTGCGTCAATCGGCACTCAGTGTACAGTGTACCTTGTAATAAACAATTGTCATGGTAGCTACGTCAATCGGCACTCAGTATACAGAGTACCTCGAAATAAACAATTGTCACAATTGGCAATTGGCACTCAATTGGCACTCAATATACAGTGAACCTAGAAATAAACAATTGTCATGTTAGCTGCGTCAATCGGCACTCATTGCATAGTGTACCTCGCAATAAATAATAGCCACACCAGCTGCGACAATCGGCACTCATTGTATAGTGTACCTCGTAATAAACAATTGTCATGGTAGCTGCGTCAATCAGCTCTCTTTGTACAGTGTACTTCGTAATAAACAATTGTCATGGAGCTGCGTCAATCGGCACTCATTGTACAGTGTACTTCGTAATAAACAATTGTCATGGTAGCTGCGTCAATCGGCTATCTTTGTACAGTGTACCTTGTAATAAATAATAGTCACACCAGCTGCGTCAATCGGCACTAATTGTACAGTGTACCTTGTAATAAACAATTGTCATGGTAGCTGCGTCAATCGGCACTCAGTGTACAGTGTACCTTGTAATAAACAATTGTCACACCAGCTGCGTCAATCGGCACTCAGTGTACAGTGTACCTCGTAATAAGCATTCGTTTACTAGCTGCGACAATCGGCACTCAATATACAGTGAACCTCGAAATAAACAATTGTCATGGTAGCTGCGTCAATCGGCACTCAGTGTACAGTGTTACTTGTAATAAACAATTGTCACACCAGCTGCGTCAATCGGCACTCATTGTACAGTGTACCTCGTAATAAGCATTCGTTTACTAGCTGCGACAATCGGCACTCAATATACAGTGAACCTCGAAATAAACAATTGTCATGGTAGCTGCGTCAATCGGCACTCATTGTACAGTGTACCTCGCAATAAACAATTGTCATGGTAGCTGCGTCAAATAGGCACTCATTGTATAGTGTACCTCGCTATAAATAATAGTCACACCAGCTGCGTCAATCGGCACTCAGTGTACAGTGTACCTCGTGATAAACAATTGTCACACCAGCTGCGTCAATCGGCACTCAGTGTACAGTGTACCTCGTAATAAGCATTCGTTTAATAGCTGCGACAATCGGCACTCAATATACAGTGAACCTCGAAATAAACAATTGTCATGGTAGCTGCGTCAATCGGCACTCAGTGTACAGTGTTACTTGTAATAAACAATTGTCACACCAGCTGCGTCAATCGGCACTCATTGTACAGTGTACCTCGTAATAAGTATTCGTCTTACTAGCTGCGACAATCGGCACTCAATATACAGTAAACCTCGAAATAAACAATTGTCATGGTAGCTGCGTCAATCGGCACTCATTGTATAGTGTACCTCGCAATAAACAATAGTCACACCAGCTGAGTCAGTCGGCACTCAATCTACAGTGTACCTCGCAATAAACATAAGTCTTACCAGCTGCGTCAATCGGCACTCATTGTACAGTGTACCTCGTAATAAACAATTGTCATGATAGTTGCGTCAATCGGCTCTTTTTGTACAGTGTACCTTGTAATAAATAATAGTCACACCAGCTGCGTCAATCGGCAATCGTTGTACAGTGTACCTCGTAATAAGCATTCGTCTTACTAGCTGCGACAATCGGCACTCAATATACAGTGAACCTCGAAATAAACAATTGTCATGGTAGCTGCGTCAAATTGGCTCTCTTTGTACAGTGTACCTCGTAATAAATAATAGTCACACCAGCTGCGACAATCGGCACTCAGTATACAGAGTACCTCGCAATAAACAATTGTCATGGTAGCTGCGTCAATCGGAACTCATTGTATAGTGTACCTCGCAATAAACAATTGTCATGGTAGCTGCGTCAAATTGGCTCCCTTTGTACAGTGTACCTCGTAATAAATAATAGTCACACCAGCTGCGACAATCGGCACTCAGTATACAGAGTACCTCGCAATAAACAATTGTCATGGTAGCTGCGTCAATCGGCACTCATTGTACAGTGTACCTCGTAATAAACAATTGTCACGGTAGCTGCGTCAATCGGCTATCTTTGTACAGTGTACCTTGTAATAAATAATAGTCACACCAGCTGCGTCAATCGGCACTCATTGTACAGTGTACCTCGTAATAAACATAAGTCTTACCAGCTGCGTCAATCGGCACACTTGTACAGTGTACCTCGTAACAAACAATAGTCACACCAGCTGCGTCAATCGGCACTCATTGTACAGTGTACCTCGTAATAAACAAAAGTCATACCAGCTGCGTCAATCAGCACTCATTGTACAGTGTACCTCGGAATAAACAATTGTCATGGTAGCTGCGTCAATCGGCACTCATTGTATAGTGTACCTCGCAATAAACAATATTCACACCAGCTGAGTCAGGCGGCACTCAATCTACAGTGTACCTCGCAATAAACAATTGTCATGATAACTGCCTCTATCGGCACTCAGTATACAGCTACCTCGCAAAAAAACAATGATATTAATAGCTGCGTCAAGCGGCACTCATTGTACAGTGTACCTCGTAATAAACATAAGTCTTGCCAGCTGCGTCAATCGGCACACATTGTACATTTTACCTCGTAATAAATAATTGTAATGATAGCTGCGTCAATCAGCTCTCTTTGTACAGTGTACCTCGTAATACATAATTGTCATGATAACTGCGTCAAACGGCACTCAGTGTACAGCATGCCTCGTAATAAACATTAGTTATACCAGCTGAGTCAGTCGGCCTTCATTGTCCAGTGTACCTCGTAAGAAACAATACTCCCACCAGCTGCGTCACTGTTTATTGCAACTACACTAGCTGCTTCAATCAGGGGCGCTTTGTGTTGTACACCACCGTAACAACAACTGTCACAATAGCTGCGCCAATCAACATCCATTGTAAGTTGACTTACTTCAGGTCGTTTATGAAGGGTGTCCCAGCTTCGTTGGAGTCGTAAAGTTGACCCCAGTTGCCGTTATAGTCCCCGAGTCGGTTGTAGCTCTGGAATTCCCCCTGAGGAAAGCCTGGAGCCTCAGATTCGCCAAGTCTGTATAAGTATATCGCACCCATACGTCCGCTCCCTACAGCCACAATCTGATCACTGCCAAACAGCGTTGTGGCAATAGCCTTTGGCTCTGGACCCTGGAAAACACCATGACTGCAACAACAGGATATGCAGGTATGCAGGATATATATTTCGACATAGCATACTGACTTGGGTGGAATAAAAAAAGGCCGTCCTATCAAGTTTGTCTGACGTTGTAAACACCCAGTTACCTTATTTTATGATGTTGATAAATCTGCCAATTTATGATTACCCTATACAGAGCCACTGTATCTATTTCACAAACAGAGCTTATTACAACTCTAATATTCACTCATCATGCCTCTTCATAACTTCGGTAGGTGAGTATCAGTCACATATCAATGTAATATTCGGAAAAATATATTTTCTAAACTGCTTTCATTAAACTGATTATATTATCGTGATTGCAGTTGAAAAATATATTTTCTTCCTTGCAAATCTGACTGCTTACGGGTAATACTTTAAATGCTTTCTCTTCCTATATAAAAACAAAACAATAATGCTTATCTCCTTATTTTACGTTATATTGAATTGTATTGATAGATAATGGTAAAAATGTTAACCTTATCATCTGAACGGGTGTCGAGTGACTGTGGAGGCGATTGGTTGATGGAGGTGCAATCACCGTTAAAAACAGAGCCATTGTATTCCCGCACTTCGTACTCCAAGTCGCTCCCGCTGTCCCACTGCTGTGTCGCACTACTGGCGTCCCACAGCGACCAGCTACGACCGCCATATGCGAAGATATTCTCGAAATATCCAAAGATAGGATTCCACCCATCGGTATCATACTGCAGATTGCTCACATAGAGGCGACCTAGGAATAGAAACACTGACTGTCATCAAAGGCCATATGATATCTATAATATGGCTTCTAATGCCACCCTATCCCCTCAACAGACACCTCGACACCCCTGATTTAATGTTACCAAATTCCCTCAACACACACCTCGACACCCCTGATTTAATGTTACTAAATTCCCTCAACAGACACCTCGACACCCCTGATTTAATGTTACCAAATTCCCTCAACACACACCTCGACACCCCTGATTTAATGTTACCAAATTCCCTCAACACACACCTCGACACCCCTGATTTAATGTTACCAAATTCCCTCAACAGACACCTTGACACCCCTGATTTAATGTTACCAAATTCCCTCAACACACACCTCGACACCCCTGATTTAATGTTACCAAATTCCCTCAACAGACACCTTGACACCCCTGATTTAATGTTACTAAATTCCCTCAACAGACATCTCGACACCCCTGATTTAATGTTACCAAATTCCCTCAACAGACACCTCGACACCCCTGATTGAATGTTATCAAATTCCCTCAACAGACACCTCGACACCCCTGATTTAATGTTACCAAATTCCCTCAACAGACATCTCGACACCCCTGATTTAATGTTACTAAATTCCCTCAACAGACACCTCGACACCCCTGATTGAATGTTACCAAATTCCCTCAAAAGACACCTCGACACCCCTGATTTAATGTTACCAAATTCCCTCAACAGACACCTCGACACCCCTGATTCAATGTTACCAAATTCCCTCAACAGACACCTCGACACCCCTGATTTAATGTTACCAAATTACCTCAACAAACACCTCGACACCCCTGATTTAATGTTACCAAATTCCCTCAACACACACCTCGAGACCCCTGATTTAATGTTACCAAATTCCCTCAACACACACCTCGACACCCCTGATTTAATGTTACCAAATTCCCTCAACAAACACCTTGACACCCCTGATTTAATGTTACTAAATTCCCTCAACAGACATCTCGACACCCCTGATTTAATGTTACCAAATTCCCTCAACAGACACCTCGACACCCCTGATTGAATGTTATCAAATTCCCTCAACAGACACCTCGACACCCCTGATTTAATGTTACCAAATTCCCTCAACAGACATCTCGACACCCCTGATTTAATGTTACTAAATTCCCTCAACAGACACCTCGACACCCCTGATTGAATGTTACCAAATTACCTCAACAAACACCTCGACACCCCTGATTTAATGTTACCAAATTCCCTCAACAGACACCTCGACACCCCTGATTCAATGTTACCAAATTCCCTCAACAGACACCCCGACACCCCTGATTTAATGTTACCAAATTACCTCAACAGATACCTCGACACCCCTGATTTAATGTTACCAAATTCCCTCAACACACACCTCCCCATTATGGCCAATTATGATTTAATACATAACAACTTTCCATCAAGTTACTGCCAATTTGATAAGAAACAATTTCGAACAAAGCCGATTACAAATTAAAGGGTTGGAGACATCTTGTAAAGGAAACGAAGCAGACTTGCCATATACCCTGTACATCATCACTCACCGAGTGCAGCATTAGAGCTTAAGTCATCTACGAGGCCAGAATCCATATTCGGGTCTAGGAGGGTAGCTGAAATTGAAATAACCGTACAGAACCATACAAAATTACACGTTAAAAAAACCTCTCCATCACTTCTTGCACATTATATCCCCGAAACTGTACGCTTACAAAGTGCTAGCTCTGTGTCTGTGTGTCCGTGTCTTTCTGACTCTGTCTGTCTGCTTTTATCTCTGTCTATCTGTATCTTTCTGCTTCTGTCTCTGTCTGTCTTTCTGTGTCTTTATGCTTCTGTCTCTGGCTGTCTGTGACTTTCTGCTTCTGTCTCTGTCTGTCTGTGTCTTTCTGCTTCTGTCGCTGTGTCTTTCTGGTCTGTCTCTGTGTCTTTCTGCTTCCGTCTCTGTCTGTATCTTTCTGCTTCTGCCTCTGTCTTTCTGCTTCTGTCTCTGTATCTTTCTGCTCCTGTCTCTGTCTGTCTGTGTCTTTCTGCTTCTCTCTCTGTCTGTATCTTTCTGCTTCTGTCTTTGTCTTTCTGCTTCTGTCTCTGTATGCTTCTGTCTCTGTCTGTCTTTCTGTGTCTTTCTGCTCCTGTCTCTGTCTGTGTCTTTCTGCTTCTGTCTCTGTCTGTGTCTTTCTGCTTCTGTCTGTGTCTTTCTGCTTCTGTCTCTGTGTCTTTCTGCTTCTGTCTCTGTGTCTTTCTGCTTCCGTCTCTGTCTGTATCTTTGTGCTTCTGTCTCTGTCTTTCTGCTTCTGTCACTGTATCTGTATGCTTCTGTCTCTGTCTGTCTGTCTCTTTCTGCTTCTCTCTCTGTCTGTATCTTTTTGCTTCTGTCTTTGTCTTTCTGTGTCTTTCTGCTTCTGTCTCTGTATCTGTATGCTTCTGTCTCTGTCTGTCTTTCTGTGTCTTTCTGCTCCTGTCTCTGTCTGTCTGTCTGTGTCTTTCTGCTTCTGTCTCTGTGTCTTTCTGCTTCTGTCTCTGTCTGTATCTTTCTGCTTCTGTCTCTGTCTGTATCTTTCTGCTTCTGTCTCTGTCTGTATCTTTCTGTATCTTTCTGCTCCTGTGTGTCTGTCTGTATCTTTCTGCTTCTGTCTCTGTCTGTATCTTTCTGCTCCTGTCTCTGTCTGTCTGTCTGTCTGTATCTTTCTGCTTCTGTCTCTGTCTGTCTGCTTCTGTCTCTTTCTGTCTGTCCGTGGCTTTCTGCTTCTGTCTCTGTCTGTTTGTCTGTCTGTGTCTTTCTGCTTCTGTCTGTGTCTTTCTGCTTCTGTCTCTGTCTGTCTGTATCTTTCTGCTTCTGTATCTGTCTGTCTGTATGTCTGTGTCTTTCTGCTTCTGTCTCTGTCTGTCTGTCTGTCTGTCTGTCTGTCTGTGTCTTTCTGCTTCCGTCTGTCTGTCTGTATCTTTCGGCTTCTGTCTCTGTCTGTATCTTTCTGTATCTTTCTGCTCCTGTCTGTCTGTCTGTATCTTTCTGCTTCTGTCTTTGTCTTTCTGTGTCTTTCTGCTTCTGTCTCTGTATCTGTATGCTTCTGTCTCTGTCTGTCTTTCTGTGTCTTTCTGCTCCTGTCTCTGTCTGTCTGTCTGTGTCTTTCTGCTTCTGTCTCTATCTGTCTGTGTCTTTCTGCTTCTGTCTCTGTGTCTTTCTGCTTCTGTCTCTGTGTCTTTCTGCTTCCGTCTCTGTCTGTATCTTTCTGCTTCTGTCTCTGTCTTTCTGCTTCTGTCTCTGTATCTTTCTGCTTCTGTCTGTTTGTCTGTCTGTGTCTTTCTGCTTCTCTCTCTGTCTGTATCTTTCTGCTTCTGTCTTTGTCTTTCTGTGTCTTTCTGCTTCTGTCTCTGTATCTGTATGCTTCTGTCTCTGTCTGTCTTCCTGTGTCTTTCTGCTCCTGTCTCTGTCTGTCTGTCTGTGTCTTTCTGCTTCTGTCTCTGTGTCTTTCTGCTTCTGTCTCTGTCTGTATCTTTCTGCTTCTGTCTCTGTCTGTATCTTTCTGTATCTTTCTGCTCCTGTCTGTCTGTCTGTATCTTTCTGCTTCTGTCTCTGTCTGTATCTTTCTGCTCCTGTCTCTGTCTGTCTGTCTGTATCTTTCTGCTTCTGTCTCTGTCTGTCTGCTTCTGTCTCTTTCTGTCCGTCCGTGGCTTTCTGCTTCTGTCTCTGTCTGTTTGTCTGTCTGTGTCTTTCTGCTTCTGTCTCTGTCTGTCTGTCTGTCTGTGTCTTTCTGCTTCTGTCTGTCTGTCTGTATCTTTCGGCTTCTGTCTCTGTCTGTATCTTTCTGTATCTTTCTGCTCCTGTCTCTGTCTGTCTGTCTGTCTGTATCATTCTGCTTCTGTCTCTGTCTCTGTCTGTCTGTCTGTCTGTATCATTCTGCTTCTGTCTCTGTCTGTTTGTCTGTCTGTGTCTTTCTGCTTCTGTCTCTGTCTGTTTGTCTGTCTGTCTGTGTCTTTCTGCTTCAGTCTCTGTCTGTCTGTATCTGTCTGCTTCTGTCTCTGTCTGTCTGTCTTTCTGTGGCTTTCTGCTTCTGTATCTGTCTGTCTGTCTGTCTGTCTGTGTCTTTCTGCTTCTGTCTGTTTGTCTGTGTCTTTCTGCTTCTCTCGCTGTGTCTGTGTGTCTGTGTCTTTCTGCTTCTGTCTCTGTCTGTATCTTTCTTTGTCTTTCTGCTCCTGTCTCTGTCTGTCTGTCTGTCCGTATCTTTCTGCTTCTGTCTCTGTCTCTCTGTCTGTGTTTTTCTGCTTCTGTCTCTTTCTGTCCGTCCGTGGCTTTCTGCTTCTGTCTCAGTCTGTTTGTCTGTCTGTCTGTGTCTTTCTGCTTCAGTCTCTGTCTGTCTGTATCTGTCTGCTTCTGTCTCTGTCTGTCTGTATGTCTGTGGCTTTCTGCTTCTGTCTCTGTGTCTGTCTGTCTGTGTCTTTCTGCTTCAGTCTATGTCTGTCTGTGTCTTTCTACTTCTGTCTCTGTCTGTGCCTTTCAGCTTCTGACTGTCTGCCAGTCTGTCTGTGTCTTTCTGCTTCTGTCTCTGTTTGTCTTTCTGCCTCATTCGGTGTCTCTGTTTCTGTCCCTGTCTCTTTCCCTTTCTCTTTGTTTATCTCTCTCATACTCGCTCGCCTAGTGGTTAAAGCGTTGCCTCGTCACGCCGAAGGCCCGGGTTCGATTCCCCACATGGTTACGCTGTGTGAAGCTTATTTCTGGTGTCCCCCGCCGTGATATTTGCTTGAATATTGCTAAAAAGCGGCGTAAAACCATTTTCACTCACTCACTCACTCGCTCGCTCGTGATATCCATGAAAACTTCGCTTACAGTCAAAGGTACTGGCTCTGTTGGCCTCTGTAAAGTCAACCCCCTCAACGGCGGTGGTGTAGCGCTTGACGGCACCAGTGTTCGCTGTCGCTAGAAACACGTTGCCGCCGAAGTTCAATGAGATGATGGCGCCAGGTTGATAGAAGCTACGAATGTTGCGTCTCACCATATTAATCCTGTCCGGGCTGATACCTACAACCAACAACCATATTACTCACTGTAAGCTCACTTGTGTATCATGACATTAATGTCTGGTGTTATAGTGGTAGGCCATGGGTGTGTATATTGTGTATTATGTGACATGTATTTTGATCTTTGGTAGATCACGTGTGCGTATATTCATGTGACGTCATGTCAGTGAGTGTTTGTTGGTTAACAACGTGTGCGTATATTTATGTGACGTCATGTCAGTGAGTGTTTGTTGGTTAACAACGTGTGCGTATATTTATGTGACGTCATGTCAGTGAGTGTTTGTTGGTAGACAACGTGTGCGTATGTTAAGGTGACGTAATGTTAAGTATTCGTTGGTAGATCCAGGGTTCTATATTACAATTAGGAGCGACGTTTCGGTGTAGGTGCTGACAGCGTCATCAAACTTGCTTGATAATAGTGTTAGAACCTATGTCCAGTGGTGGTGGTATGCCACACATCTATGTACAGTAGTGGTGGTATCACACATATCTATGTAGAGTAGTGGTGGTATCACACATATCCATGTAGAGTAGTGGTGGTATGACACAGATCTATGCACAGTAGTGGTGGTATGACACAGATCTATGTACAGTAGTGGTGGTATCACACATATGTATGTAGAGTAGTGGTGGTATGACACAGATCTATGTAGAGTAGTGGTGGTATGACACAGATCTATGTACAGTAGTGGTGGTATGACACACATCTATGTACAGTAGTGGGGTTATGACACATATCTATGTACGGTAGTGGTGGTATGACCCAGATCTATGTACAGTAGTGGTGGTATCACACAGATCTATGTACAGTAGTCGTGGTATGACACATATCTATGTACAGTAGTGGTGGTATCACACATATCTATGTAGAGTAGTGGTGGTATGACATACATCTATGCACAGTAGTGGTGGTATGCTACAGATCTATGCACAGTAGTGGTGGTATGACACACATCTATGTACAGTAGTCGTGGTATTACAAACATCTATGTAGAGTAGTGGTGGTATGACACACATCTATGTAGAGTAGTCGTGGTATGACACGCATCTATGTAGAGTAGTGGTGGTATGACACACATCTATGTACAGTAGTCGTGGTATCACACATCTATGTACAGTAGTGGTGGTATGACACAGATCTATGTACAGTAGTGGTGGTATGACACACATCTATGTACAGTAGTGGTGGTATGACACGCATCTATGTAGAGTAGTGGTGGTATGACACACATCTATGTACAGTAGTCGTGGTATCACACACATCTATGTACAGTAGTGGTGGTATGACACACATCTATGTAGAGTAGTGGTGGTATGACACACATCTATGTACAGTAGTCGTGGTATTATACACATCTATGTACAGTAGTCGTGGTATTATACACATCTATGTACAGTAGTCGTGGTATTATACACATCTATGTACAGTAGTCGTGGTATTATACACAAACTTACTCTGGTCCTGATCACTGGTGTCGATGTCAAAGTTGTTCCAGTCCTTCGACCCGAGGCTGTATATGTCCACCCCGCCTACTAGGTTGTTCAGATTGAATACTGCCAGCGCGTTATTTTCCTGAAAATACATCTATATACATCTATATGTTGACACCTTACAATTATTACTTAATATTTATATGATGTTGTATAACACAAAGGGGATATTTTGAGACTATAATAGACTGTTATACAATATTCCCAGTAATTGTAAAAAGACCATGGCTGCCTCATTACAAGCTACCAGTATGATCTGGGCCTATATTCCGTTGTGTATGAACGATAAAACCACAAAAGGGATCAATACTCTTTGTAAAACTTTGCTGGCAACAAATTCTTAATATTGCATTTCTTGGGAGAACATATTTTTACAATACAGAGACATTGAGCTGTTAGACTTTCAGTATAGATTCATATATAACATTATTTATATCCAAACAGAATTGTTTTAGATGAATATTGTTGATAACGTTTGTTCCTTTTGTAGGAAAGAACCAGAATCTTTGACGCGTGTCTATATAGAATGCCACTGTGTAAAATCATTTTCTCGTATTAAACTAGGGAACTAACTTCACAATAGTTTACCTTTTGAATTACGTTTGATAAATAACAAGATACTATTGACCATCAATGACCAAAACTCTAATTAATAAAAAGAATGATAAAAACAATATTACTTAAGATTAGTGAGACTTCCAAATAGTTTTCGTTCATTGGCGTGGGTTGCTTTATATATGTATCGGTGCTTGTCTGAGACACAGGCAGGGAACAAGTGGACATCACCAACAGGCGACAAGTTCATGCCCTGACAATGTACACGTGTAATACACAGTCACACCACACTCGGCAACGTGTGTCAACTGATATTGTAGCTATTCAAGTAAGACTGAAGTTTATCTGCATGGATATGGAGAGGAATCAACACGTGCATACCGAATTCTAAACTGAGAATAGCAAGTCAAACAATCAGACAAGTATTTTCAACCTAAACTCGTTTAACATTACGCAGTGAAAATACTCTCGAATTTCTTGCCATGTCAGTATATCGTCCACCTCCAAGTAGAAGCTGATGGTAGGAACTTCTGACTTTTGAAGGAGCATTGATACATAATATCAAACATATACTGCATATGTATGTATTTTTAACATGAGAATACAGAATGCATGTTTTAAATGTAAAACATGTTTGTACATCAACCCATACCCACCATGAGAGTGACGTAGACGATGTTGTTGTCGTCAATGGTGACGTCACTCGGCTCCAGGTCATTGACAACAGAGTGCTGTGCATTGTTGGGGTCACGGAAGACATACCGGGCATTTCCAAGCCCACGGGCTGACCTAGCAGTGCACTCACCATTATTATTTTCTAAACAATATCAACTGCAATATAGTAATGTACAATGTGCCACGACGGACCACTATATAGTGAAGACATATTGTCATACTGACAGACACACCGATACAGTATAGACATACTGCTATACTGGCACACGGTTTCCGACAGAGTAACGGAAGAGAGACAGACACATCGATACAGTGAAGGCGAAGAGAGAGACACACCGATACAGTGAAGGCACATAGACAGACACCGATACAGTGAAGGCAGATAGACAGACACCGATACAGTGAAGGCGAAGAGAGAGACACATCGATACAGTGAAGGCCTATAGACAGACACATCGATACAGTGAAGGCAGATAGACAGACACATCGATAAAGTGAAGGCGAAGAGAGAGACACATCGATACATTGAAGGCAGATAGACAGACACATCGATACAGTGAAGGCAGATAGACAGTCACACCGATACAGTGAAGGCGAAGAGTGAGACACACCGATACAGTGAAGGCACATAGACAGACACATTGATACAGTGAAGGCAGATAGACAGTCACACCGATACAGTGAAGGCGAAGAGAGAGACACACCGATACAGTGAAGGCCTATAGACAGACACATCGATACAGTGAAGACAGATAGACAGTCACACCGATACAGTGAAGGCGAAGAGAGAGACACACCGATACAGTGAAGGCCTATAGACAGACACATCGATACAGTGAAGGCACATAGACAAACACCGATACAGTGAAGGCAGATAGACAGACACACCGATACAGTGAAGGCAGATAGACAGACACACCGATACAGTGAAGGCACATAGACAAACACCGATACAGTGAAGGCAGATAGACAGACACATCGATACAGTGAAGGCAGATAGACAGACACACCGATACAGTGAAGGCACATAGACAAACACCGATACAGTGAAGGCAGATAGACAGTCACACCGATACAGTGAAGGCGAAGAGAGAGACACACCGATACAGTAAAGGCAGATAGACAGACACATCGATACAGTGAAGGCGAAGAGAGAGACACACCGATACAGTGAAGGCACATAGACAGTCACACCGATACAGTGAAGGCGAAGAGAGAGACACACTGATACAGTGAAGGCACATAGACAGTCACACCGATACAGTGAAGGCGAAGAGAGAGACACACCGATACAGTGAAGGCACATAGACAGACACATCGATACAGTGAAGGCAGATAGACAGTCACACCGAATAGTGAAGGCGAAGAGAGAGACACACTGATACAGTGAAGGCAGATAGACAGACACATCGATACAGTGAAGGCAGATAGACAGACACACCGATACAGTGAAGGCGAAGAGAGAGACACACCGATACAGTGAAGGCCTATAGACAGACACATCGATACAGTGAAGGCAGATAGACAGTCACACCGATACAGTGAAGGCGAAGAGAGAGACACACTGATACAGTGAAGGCAGATAGACAGACACATCGATACAGTGAAGGTAGATAGACAGACACCGATACAGTGAAGGCAGATAGACAGACACATCGATACAGTGAAGGCAGATAGACAGTCACACCGATACAGTGAAGGCGAAGAGAGAGACACACTGATACAGTGAAGGCACATAGACAGACACATCGATACAGTGAAGGCAGATAGACAGACACATCGATACAGTGAAGGCAGATAGACAGACACATTGATACAGTGAAGGCAGATAGACAGTCACACCGATACAGTGAAGGCGAAGAGAGAGACACACTGATACAGTGAAGGCACATAGACAGACACATCGATACAGTGAAGGCAGATAGACAGACACATCGATACAGTGAAGGCAGATAGACAGACACATCGATACAGTGAAGGCGAAGAGAGAGACACACCGATACAGTATAGCCAGGAAGACAGACACACCAATACAGTGTAGGCAGGTAGACAGACACACCGAGACAGTGAGGGCAAAGAGACGGACACACCGATACGGTGAAGGCACGTAGACAGACACACCGATACAGTGAAGACATACTGCTATACTGACACACAGTCCCGACAGAGTGACGGAAGAGAGACAGACACATTGGTACAGAGAAGGCACATAGACAGACACACCGATACAGTGAAGGCAGATAGACAGACACATCGATACAGTGTAGCCAGATAGACAGACACATCGATACAGTGAAGGTGAAGAGAGAGACACACCGATACAGTGAAGGCAGATAGACAGACACACCGATAAAGTGAAGGCTCATAGACAGACACACCAATGCAGTGTAGGCAGATAAACAGACACACCGATGCAGTGTAGGCAGATAGACAGTCACATCGATACAGTGTAGGCAGATAGACAGACACACCGATACAGTGAAGGCAGATAGACAGACACACCGATAAAGGCAATACAGATAGACAGACACACCGATATAGAGAAGGCAGATAGACAGACGCATCGATACAGTGTAGGCAGATAGACAGACACACCGATACAGTGATGGCAGATAGACAGACACACTGATACAGTGATGGCAGATAGACAGACACACTGATACAGTGAAGGCAGATAGACAGACACACTGATAAAGTGATGGCAGATAGTAGGGCTGAAACGATATCCCGGGACACCGATGCATCGCGATTCACTCCATACGATACGGTGTGCGATTTGTGAGGTGCTGTATCTCGATTTTTCACGATACGTTTTTTCAAAGACGTATATACGTACGTCTTTTTTTTGTAAATAAACTTTTATCACAGATACGTTTTAAATTTGTTTTAACTCTTTCAACACCGCAGGCCGGTAAACCGGCCAAGAAGCATTAGTCACGTCAAAATAGTATATATTTTTATGGACCTACCTGTCATACCATTCATTTATTAAATCTATCACATCTCACAATGTCTGAAATACGTATTCTATTTCAATTTATCAAAATGAATCATTTTTTTTATCGATAGATTAAAAAGTTATTCACTATTTCCCGCAATGTTATTGAAAATATAATTCTCGGATGGACATCGAACATGTCAAAGAGCAAAACAAAGACGTTTCAAGCAAATCTTTAAATATATATACAAAGTGATAAATAAAATCAACAACAAAATATCTAAAAGTGGTCAAACTTACAGCTAACTTATTATTTCCATCTTTTCATGCGATCGCGTGTGATGTTAGTCACATGACATCTCGGCTTTCGTCGCATCGAATTCTCGGCTCGGACACTATGTTCAATGCCAAAATATATGCATGAAAAATCTTTGTCACAGCTTGTAACCTAGCATGAAACATCCACAAAACTCCTTTTTTTTATTATAGATCGCGATTTCCTGCTCTAAACGTTCAGAATAACACGATTTAACCAAAATATTTCGTAAAAATGTGAAAGTCATCGTACACGAGGATTTGTAATTTGATTGCCTGTCTCAGGTCACGTGCTCAAATTTGACCAATCATGAACCTTGTAGCAGATTTCGGCAAGAAAGCGTTATTAGAAACCAATGAAATCTTATGTTATAGCTACGAAAAAGACAAAGGCAATGTTACGAGCGTGAAGGTGAAAAAACAAGCTTTCTAGCGATGTGTCATATGTCAGTCCTCGACAAACGTGTTATTCATACGAAGCTTTCGAAAACGGAGGTATTTCTCCATGTTACTGAGCGGACAGCCGCTGTTATCTGGAAATGAGTGAAAACAGATTCTATTCATAATTCTTTTTAAAATAATTTTCCAATTACGTATACAATGAAAATAAAAAAGAAATAAGTAGATTTTTTGAAATCTTAAATTTGTCCCAAATCGTCAAATTTTCGCTTCCTTGGTCTTTAATCTGGACGTTATGAATGTGTTAGCTTACATTTTTTTTATTTACAACGAATTTAATTAAGTTGTAAATGCATTATTTAAATAATGTGATAAACATAACTTTCATATTTATAAACACTAGGATTAGACCTTTCAAATGGTGTATAACATGGCTGTTGCTATAATTGTTTTTAATTGTTTTTTTGCCTTTATTCACGAAAATGGCAAATCATTAGTTACTGGACACTGGTACATTTAGTATTTACTCCTAGAATCTACCATCTAGTCACAACTCACAAATATGTAGGACTGTTACTTTTGTGTTTGCTAGCCATTACATGGAAATGGCAGATGATTCATTAAGTTAAAATACTCATTACAGTATATATTTTATGACTCATGAACATTCATCACTTTCATTTCATTTTTCATTTTAATAAACTAAGTTTAATTCATTTATCTCTTGTCTTCTCTTGTCACTACGTGTATCGTAGCGTATCGAGATACGTATCGAATCGTGATGTAAGTATCGAGATACATATCGTATCGTGACCTAGGTGTATCGTTGCAGCCCTAGCAGATAGACAGAAACACTGATACAGTGTCGGCACATAGACAGACACACTGATACAGTGATGTCAGATAGACAGACACACTGATACAGTGATGTCAGATAGACAGACACACTGATACAGTGATGGCAGATAGACAGACACACTGATACAGTGATGTCAGATAGACAGACACACTGATACAGTGATGGCAGATAGACAGACAAACTGATACAGTGATGGCAGATAGACAGACACACTGATACAGTGAAGGCAGATAGACAGACACACCGATACAGTAAAGGCAGATAGACAGACACACTGATACAGTGAAGGCACATAGAAAGACACACTGATACAGTTAGGACATACTGCTATACTGACACACAGTTTCCGACATAGTTACGGAAGAGAGACAGACACACCAAAACAGTGAAGGCAGAAAGACAGACACACTGATACAGTGAAGGCAGATAGACAGACACACCGATACAGTAAAGGCAGATAGACAGACACACCGATACAGTAAAGGCAGATAGACAGACACACCGATACAGTAAAGGCAGATAGACAGACACACTGATACAGTGAAGGCGAAGAGAGAGACACACTGATACAGTGAAGGCACATAGACCGACACACCGATACAGTAAAGGCAGATAGACAGACACACCGATACAGTAAAGGCAGATAGACAGACACACTGATACAGTGAAGGCAGGTAGACAGACACACCGATACAGTGAAGGCAGATAGACAGACACACCGATACAGTAAAGGCAGATAGACAGACACACCGATACAGTAAAGGCAGATAGACAGACACACTGATACAGTGAAGGCAGATAGACAGACACACACCGTTACAATGAAGGCAAAGGGACAGACACACCGATACAGTGAAGGCTCATAGACAGACACACCGATACAGTGTAGGCAGATAAACAGACACACTCATAAAGTGAAGGCTCATAGACAGACACACCGATACAGTGAGGGCAGATAGACAGACACACCGATACAGTAAAGGCAGATAGACAGACACACCGATACAGTAAAGGCAGATAGACAGACACACTGATACAGTGAAGGCGAAGAGAGAGACACACTGATACAGTGAAGGCACATAGACCGACACACCGATACAGTAAAGGCAGATAGACAGACACACCGATACAGTAAAGGCAGATAGACAGACACACTGATACAGTGAAGGCAGGTAGACAGACACACCGATACAGTGAAGGCAGATAGACAGACACACCGATACAGTAAAGGCAGATAGACAGACACACCGATACAGTAAAGGCAGATAGACAGACACACTGATACAGTGAAGGCAGATAGACAGACACACACCGTTACAATGAAGGCAAAGGGACAGACACACCGATACAGTGAAGGCTCATAGACAGACACACCGATACAGTGTAGGCAGATAAACAGACACACTCATAAAGTGAAGGCTCATAGACAGACACACCGATACAGTGAGGGCACATAGACAGACACACTGATACAGTGAGGGCACATAGACAGACACACTGTTACAATGAAGGCACATAGACAGACACACCAAGACAGTGAAGGCAGGTAGACAGACACACTGATACAGTGAAGGCACATAGAAAGACACACTGATACAGTTAGGACAAACTGCTATACTGAGACACAGTTTCCGACATAGTTACGGAAGAGAGACAGACACACCAATGAGTGAAGGCAGAAAGACACACTGATACAGTTTAGGCAAATAGACAGACACACCGATAAAATGAAGGCTCATAGACAGACACACCGATGCAGTGTAGGCAGATAGACAGACACACAGGTACAGTGAAGGCACGTTGACAGACACACCGATACAGTGTAGGCAGGAAGAGAGACGCACTGATACAGAGAAGGCAGGAAGACAGACACACTGATACAGTTAGGACATACTGCTATACTGAGACACAGTTTCCGACATAGTTACGGAAGAGAGACAGACACACCAATGAGTGAAGGCAGAAAGACAGACACACTGATACAGTGAAGGCACATAGAAAGACACACTGATACAGTTAGGACATACTGCTATACTGAGACACAGTTTCCGACATAGTTACGGAAGAGAGACAGACACACCAATACAGTGAAGGCAGAAAGACAGACACACTGAAACAGTTTAGGCAAATAGACAGACACACCGATAAAGTGAAGGCTCATAGACACACACACCGATGCAGTGTAGGCAGATAAACAGACACACCGATAAAGTGAAGGCTCATAGACAGACACACCGATGCAGTGTAGGCAGATAGACAGACACACAGGTACAGTGAAGGCACGTTGACAGACACACCGATACAGTGTAGGCAGGAAGACAGACGCACTGATACAGAGAAGGCTCATAGACACACACACCGATGCAGTGTAGGCAGATAGACAGACACACCGATAAAGTGAAGGCTCATAGACAGACACACCGATGAAGTGTAGGCAAATAAACAGACACACAGATACAGTGAAGGCACGTAGACAGACACACCGATACAGTGTAGGCAGATAGACAGACACACCGATACAGTGAAGGCACGTAGACAGACACACCGTTACAGTGTAGGCAGAAAGACAGACACACTGATACAGAGAAGGCAGATAGACAGACACACTGATAAAGTCAATACAGACAGAAAGACACACCGATATAGAGAAGGCAGATAAACAGACGCACCGATACAGTGAAGGCAGATAAACAGACACCGATACAGAGAGGGCAGGAAGACAGACCTACCGATACAGTGAATGCAGATAGACAGACACACCGATATAGTGAAGGCAGATAAAAAGACACACCGATACAGAGAAGGCAGGTAGACAGACACACCGATACAGTGAATGCAGATAGTCAGACACACACCGATACAGTGAAGGCACATAGACAGACACACCGATACAGTGTTGGCACGAAGAAAAACCAACCGATACAGTGTTGGGAAAAGACCAGACATACCGATAGAGTAAAGATGGATATGACAGACACACCAATAGAGTGAAGGTGGATAGACAGGCACACCGATACAGTGAAAGGAGATAGAAATAAACGAAGCAAAACAATGGAGGAACATGGAGAAGTGACGAACTATAGCAACACAACAGAGGTACATGGAGGAGTGACGGACTCTAGGGACGCAATAGAGGTACATGGAGAAGTTACGTACTCTAGCAACACAATAGAGGTACATGGAGAAGTGACGTACTCTAGGGACGCAATAGAGGTACATGGAGAAGTGACTTACTCTAGCAACACAATTGACGTACATGGAGAAGTGACGTACTCTAGGGACGCAATAGAGGTACATGGAGAAGTTACGTACTCTAGCAACACAATAGAGGTACATGGAGAAGTGACGTACTCTAGCAACACAATAGAGGTACATGGAGAAGTGACGTACTCTAGAAACACAATAGAGGTACATGGAGAAGTGACTGACTCTAGCAACACAATAGAGGTACATGGAGAAGTGACTTACTCAAGCAACACAACAGAGGTACATGGAAAAGTGACTTACTCTAGCAACACAACAGAGGTACATGGAGAAGTGACGTAATCTAGCAACACAACAGATCTAGAGGTACATGGAGAAGTGACGTACTCTAGCAACACAACAGAGGTACATGGAGAAGTGACGTACTCTAGCAACACAACAGAGGTACATGGAGAAGTGACGTACTCTAGCAACACAACAGTGGTACATGGAGAAGTGACGTACTCTAGCAACACAATAGAGGTACATTGAGAAGTGACGTACTATATAGCAACACAATAGAGGTACATGGAGAAGTGACGTACTCTAGCAACACAATAGAGGTACATGGAGAAGTGACTTACTCTAGCAACACAACAGAGGTACATTGAGAAGTGACGTACTATATAGCAACACAATAGAGGTACATGGAGAAGTGACGTACTATATAGCAAGACAATAGAACAGAATGGGAATCAGCAGTGATGGTTAACCGGATTTGCACACTTACTGGAAATTAATTGTATATTTTGTCCATGCATCAACATTCCTCTCAAAAATGTCAACATGAGCGAGAGGATCCTCAAAATTGTTGTTTCTGGTCCCAGGAAGTCCTTCACAGGCGACAACAAATCTTGCACACGTTCCGTCATACTGGATGGCGACAGGGTCAGACTCGGCTGCAATGGTGCATTTATTGAATATGTTTGTGAGGCAAATTCAATGTGAATGTCACATGTAATTACTATCAACTTAACAGATAACCCTGCTCTCAATATTGTAATATATTTAGGTTTTACTTTGTAAGTACTTACTAGAAACTCTTCCAAGCAGAGGGAACGTCTGATCGAACCTGAGAAACGTTCTAAAAACTTCTACGTGTCCTTCGTTTAACCTGGACCGTGCAGCGAAGGCGATGGCGACCTGCTCGGTTTGGCCACTCCGACACAGAGAGATTGCCTTGGGAATTCCGTCTGTGATCTCACTGAAGGTTTGAGAGTAGGCAATGGTTGGGTTGCTAGGGTCCTGCATATCGACAATGTGGAGAGTCTCACTGCGGCCGCCTGCAACAAACCATAGACTACCACACTCTTTAACATATGAGTACACTTGATGTGTGACACATAGCTCTACTGTAGAATCTAGTACATCACGTCCTACCCTTAGTGCTTGATGTGTGACACATAGCTACACTGTAGAATGTACAACGTCACACCCTTCCCTTAGTGCTTGATGTGTGATACATAGCCACACTGTAGAATGTACAACGTCACACCCTACCCTTAGTGCTTGATGTGTGACACATAGCCACACTGTAGAATTTAGTACATCACACCCTACCCTTAGTGCTTGATGTGTGATACATAGCCACACTGTAGAATTTAGAACATCACACCCTACGCTTAGTCCTTGATGTGTGACACACAGCCACACTGTAGAATTTAGTACATCACACCCTTCCCTTAGTGCTTGATGTGTGACACATAGACACACTGTAGAATTTAGTACATCACACCCTTCCCTTAGTGCTTGATTTGTGACACATAGCCACACTGTAGAATGTACAACGTCACACCCTATCCTTAGTCCTTGATGTGTGACAAATAGCCACACTGTAGAATTTACAACGCCACACCCTTCCCTTAGTGCTTGATGTTTGATACATAGCCACACTGTAGAATTTAGTACATCACACCCTTCCCTTAGTGCTTGATGTGTGACACATAGCCACACTGTAGAATGTACAACGTCACATCCTATCCTTAGTCCTTGATGTGTGACACATAGCCACACTGTAGAATTTAGTACATCACACCCTTCCCTTAGTGCTTGATGTGTGACACATAGCCACACTGTAGAATGTACAACGCCACACCCTTCCCTTAGTGCTTGATGTGTGATACATAGCCACACTGTAACATTTAGTACATCACACCCTTCCCTTAGTGCTTGATGTGTGACACATAGCCACACTGTAGAATGTACAACGCCACACCCTTCCCTTAGTGCTTGATGTGTGATACATAGCCACACTGTAAAATTTAGTACATCACACCCTTCCCTTAGTGCTTGATATGTAACACATAGCCACACTGTATAATGTACAACGTCACACCCTTCCCTTAGTGCTTGATGTGTGACACATAGCTACACTGTAGAATGTACAACGTCATACCCTATCCTTAGTGCTTGATGTATGATACAAAGCCACACAGTAGAATTTAGTATATCACACCCTACGCTTAGTGCTTCATGTGTGACACATAGCCACACTGTAGAATGTACAACGTCGCACCCTTCCCTTAGTGCTTGATGTGTGACACATAGCCACACTGTAGAATGTACAACGTCACACCCTATCCTTAGTGCTTGATGTGTGACACATAGCCACACTGTAGAATTTACAACGCCACACCCTTCCCTTAGTGCTTGATGTTTGATACATAGCCACACTGTAGAATTTAGTACATCACACCCTTCCCTTAGTGCTTGATGTGTGACACATAGCCACACTGTAGAATGTACAACGTCACACCCTACCCTTAGTCCTTGATTTGTGACACTTAGCCACACTGTAGAATTTAGTATATCACACCCTACGCTTAGTGCTTGATGTGTGAAACATAGCCACACTGTAGAATGTACAACGTCACACCCTTCCCTTAGTGCTTGATGTATGATACAAAGCCACACAGTAGAATTTAGTATATCACACCCTACGCTTAGTGCTTCATGTGTGACACATAGCCACACTGTAGAATGTACAACGTCGCACCCTTCCCTTAGTGCTTGATGTGTGACACATAGCCACACTGTAGAATGTACAACGTCACACCCTTCCCTTAGTGCTTGATGTGTGACACATAGCCACACTGTAGAATTTAGTATATCACACCCTATCCTTAGTGCTTGATGTGTGACACATAGCCACACTGTAGAATTTAGTATATCACACCCTACGCTTATTGCTTGATGTGTGATACATAGCCACACTGTAGAATCTAGTGCATCACAGACTACTTTTAGTGCTTGATGTATGATTTGTCACTACAATGTATAATCTACCACATCCTGCCCAACCTTAGTGCTTGATGTATGATATATAACCACATGTACCATTGGAAAAACAGGGTTAGTAATGGCACTACTGGTTCAGTTAAACGTTATTATCCAGTTTTGCGTGTACCTATGACATAGAGGTAGTTCTGGTCGGAGTCATACGCTATTCTGTCTGCAGTGCCCAGGAAAGGTCTCGTGTTCCCCGACCCATCAGGGACCTTGATGTATGCTAAAGGTCGAGTGATGGGAACGGCGGCCACAAGGTGTAAAGCCACAATGCCCAGATAAAAAGTCAACATCTGGAAACAGAAACTTTCATAAAGTTTGATACAACTATGATCCCACAACTAACAGTAGTGCATGGGCTGATAATAATCATATAAAGGAATGCGGGAATAATATCTGTTAATATCAGCATGCCTTACAACGTTGACTTCAGCGACAATTATGTATGTTGTGGGCCTAAATACCTTGCATAGAAGACTTTTTCTTTCCTTCAACATATTGTTAACCTGCTATTAAAAGACAAGTCCTGCAAATAATTGTTTATATAACATCCCTACCTGTTTAGACATTAGAGCCCATCAACATTTCATAGTTTCCGTCATTCACATTAATCTGTACTCGAAAGACGAACTCATCTTGTTTTATCCCTCACCCAATATGTTAACATGTCAAATACGTTATCATTTGCAGCTATCAGCGAATATTACGAAACCTTATGGTGCCACTATGGTAATATAATTTCGAATATTTTCTCGTTATTTCGAATATTGAATATAATATATCGAAATGTCGAGTTTTTTCTCGGAGTTCATTTGTTTTCTCGCAGTTTCAATTTTGTTCTCTTCATGAGGATAATATTTTCGTTATTTCAATTATTTCAGTGGTTAAATCGGTACTTCGATTATTTTCTCGTCATTTCTATTATTTTTCGAAACTTTTTTCCTCTCGTTATTTCAATCAACCAAACACATTATGACATAATGAGATAAGAACTGAAATACAGAGAAAATAATCGAAATTACGACCAAAAACTTGAAATGTCGATTGCATTTTGTATTCATTTGTGCTACCAAAAGCTTTCGTTGAACACCATCAAGGACATGGTCTTCGCAATAGAGTTATTTGACATCCCGCTAACGTTAGAAATGAGAAATTGCCGTAAACAAGTTCATCCTACTAGTATTTGATGTATGTTAACACTAATTCTTTGTTTGCGGAAAATGTCTTACCTTTACTCGCTGGTCCAGACGGCAGAGACCAACAAGAGAACGCGGCTTGATAAAGTAGGAAAAGTTGCACACTGATAAGGTTGACCGCTCCCTCGCTTATCTTAATATGTTAAAGGAAGATTGGACACGCGCTTTATCAGAAACGTCTAAAATGTGGGAAATATATTTTTCAATCTATTCTCAATACCTTGACAACATAGTACAAAAATGTGAAAAAATAAGTACAAAGCACAAACAATTACTATATAATCCAAATATTAACTACATAGCATATATATCAACCACATATTACAGATACAAACTTTATTGTGAAAAAGAAATTCTTAACGAATATAACTATCTTGATACCATTATTAACAATAGGGACCGCCTCCGTGGTCTTGTGGTAGAGCGTCCGCCCGGAGAGCGGAAGGTCCAGGGTTCGATCCCGTGCCGCGTCATACAAAAAGACGTTAAAAGATTATACTTGTTGTTACCCTGTCTGGCGCTCGGCATTAAGGGGCTAAAACAAGGACTGGTCGGCTCGGAGTCAGTATACTGTGTCTGAGTGGGGTATTCATGTTAAACTGCGGCATGGTATCTCAGTGAGCTAGCACTATAAATCGGCATCAGTCAGGACTAGTACAAGCAGCCACACACACACACATACACGTGCATGCACGTCGCTATATAAGTGCAATAATCTTGGACGCGACGTTAAACCCAATTTCACCTCACCTTTACCATAGAGTAACACGGGATGTTAATACGGATTACGTTTACAAAAAGGGAAAAAATGTGCGCATTTTATCACGTTTACAAAAAGGGACAAAAACGTATGTATCTATTGTGTCGTTTCCTGCATTTTAATGCTTATAAGGCTATTGTTTTACTTTCCACTGTTGCTTTGGAAACAGTTCCTTTGGAACAGGTGTGAAATGTCTCGAGGCAGTAACTGTTGCCTCGACCCCAGGTCGTGGTGTAATGTGTATGTATTGTATTGTGCAAGTTGTTTTCTTACACACCTGTGGTTGAGAAACCCATTTGAGATAACTGGTATCAAACATATGTGTGAGATCGAATTCCAGGCCCGTGATTGGCTACTCTATGGTGAATTCCACCTCTTTTAGGGGCTGACCATCTGATATTTAGAGGGGATGGGGTGGAATGGAGGCGGATAGAGTCATGTTTTTTTCTTCAGATTTAAGGGTTGAGATTTTTTTCATACATAACTTTTAGAATTCAACCTCTGGGAAGAATGTCAAAATTTTCTCACTGTTCACTGAACACAATAACTGTAGAGATTGAGGAATGTACTTATCAATTTCTAAGATTGTGGATTATGGACATGAATACTTTCGATAAAAAGAAGCCTTACCAAACTGAAATTTCGACACGTTGGGTCCAAACCGTGAATAGTGCTAGAAAACACAACCAAAACAATTTGTTGAGTTATTTACGTGCTACAGTCCCTAGAACGGTGCAACTTGAGAATAAAGTGCAACTTTGGCTCCACTTGCAGCGTGCCAATCTACAAAGATATGAGTATAAAACGAGCGATGTACTGTTTATTCACACGCAAACTGTTGGATAGTAACAAATAACATGCTAAGATTTACTCTACAACATAGACAGCAAGCCGTGGTTGGTACATCACGGAGCAATGCATGACCACGTCGAAGTTATGTAATACCGTGAGTGACATTTTCGCGATCTCGCATTCTCGCGATCTCGACCTCGATCTTGATCTCGGCCAAAATCGCAATCTCGCATTCTCGTGTTTTTTATACATTAGGCCACAAAAAAACGAAATCGCGAGTACGCAAGAATGCGATATTTCATTTTCTCGCGATCTCGCGATTTCGCGTCCTCGTGTTCTCGCGTTTTAGACGCTGTCCGTAATATCATAAGGTAAAGGCGCATGCGCACGTTAGTAGTCCTTTTGTCATGCTTCTTTCACGCTCTTCATTCTCCAAGTAGCATTTAGAAACTTATGACTTGAGCTTGAAAATGCTATGTAATTTACATACACAAAGTCCTATGTATAGTAGAGTAGAGTCATCTCCCTTTGGTACAGTTTCCTATGGACTTAAAATTTAAACCCTCAAAATGCTCAATATAATTTAACAAAAGAAAATGTCCAGTGATAGTGAAAACATTACAGTCTCCGGAAGCTGGAATCAAAATATCACCGTCAGTGAGTGAGTAAATATCGCTTAAAGCCAAATCAGCAGTATTGCAGCTATTCGTGGCTGCACTGTCAGTTACAGAAATAATCACAGGCCAGTGGCAATATTATATACAGCTAGCATATTCATTTAAACACAATTCTCCAAGCCCAATTTGTAGCATTCGGCTAAAATGAGATTGTCCGATGTTTCTACACGACACTATATTCGCTACTTTAGGCCATACAAAATTGATTAATAGATTTTCATCCTCTCCCTCCTGACGAGTTCGATAAGAAAACAATAAAATGTTAAAAATATAATGCGTCCCGTCTCCCATGTTTTTTTTAGAAATTCAATCAAACTCTAACCATTAATTTATTGCGGCCTTGACATCCACATGATAGTCATGCTTATACTGGAAACGTACCCCAATATCCAGCCTGAGGGACCGACATGGCTCTGAATAAGTGAGTGATTTTAACTTAACACCGCTTTGAACAGTATGTATATTTCAGTTATACCCTGGCTTGTCTGCTTGAAATGGGACGAAATCCAGTAGGTTTCTGGCACACCCAAGGAACGCAACTCCACACTGCGAATTGCGACACCTAAGACGACTGAGCCACCAGATGGCTTTAAAGATAATTGGCACAAAAGCACGAGAACGCGAGATCGCGACATTGGTCAAGTGTCGAAATCTCGCTTTCTCGCGATTTTGAACATATTTACATATAACAGTACACGTAATTGACACAAAATCACGAGAATGCGAGATCGCGACCAATGTTATTCGTTGTGTGTGCAAATGATAATGCCCTAAAAATAGCGTTACCCTGATAATATAAGATAGCTACGCGATAAATCGCAAAGAACAATGAAGAACGAAGTGTGATATATTTCAATATAAAACATTATTCTATCTTGACGTCATTTCTGGAGATTCGAACATGCGCTCGCAACTTGATAACATCGTATGTTTGACGACGTTATTGTGGGATGGGAGTATCTAGTGAGTTGTTCCCCATAGATGTAGCAGGGCAACGCAGATAAACGCATCCCAAACCAGGAGAGATATGACAATCCGTATTGGTAGAAAAGGTACGGGTAATCGACGTGAGGATTCTGAGAATATGCGGGAAATACCCAGCTGTGCATAAAATGTTGCCGAGGTCAGTTTCTATTGAGGGAGTCATCATTATTCAAATAGGGGTTAATATTTTTAATGATTGTACATTTTATCAACATCCTTAAAGAGGCTGTACATAATGTTGATATCTCATGTAAGCATTTAACGACTCGTGGTCGTTGTTTGTCGTACAATAAAACACTCGCCCCTCTTGGTTTATTCTCCCTGCAGTGTTTTATTGTAAGATAAACAACTCCCACGAGTCGTTTATTTCTTAAACAGTGGCCTGCTTATTTCTGATAACATACGGGTGTTGAATGATAATTCTATCCATTTTAGCTAAAAATAATGTAAGGCAGGATGTTTTGTAGTCAGGTTGGAGCGGATGGAAATCTATTAATTTTTTTATATATTTCAAATTGGTCTGTGAGAATTTTGCTTTAATGAATATGCTAGCCGTGTGTAATATTGCCTCGTGGAGAAAACCGCTGGCCTGTGATTATTTCTATAACTGACGGTGTAGCCGCGGATAGCTGCAATATTACTCACTCACTGACGGTGACAGTTTTGTTTCCAGCTTTCGGCCACATTAATGTTTTCACTATCATTGGACATTCACGTACACTATTTCTTTTGTTAAATTATATTGAGCATGTTGAGGGTTTTAATCTAAAGTATATAGGGAACTGTACGAAAGGGAGAGGACTCTACTCCACTCTACATAGGACTTTGTGTATGTAAATTACATTGCACTTTCAAGCTCAAGTAATAATTTTGCTAATAAAGAGCATGAAAGAAGCTGGACCAAAGGATTACTAACGTGCGCATGCGCCTTGACCTTATGATATTACGCATGCGCACGGACAGCGTATAAAACGCGAGAACGCGATATCGCGAGAAACTGAAATGCCGCATTCTCGCGTTCTCGCGATTTCGTGTGTTTGTGGCCTGATTTGACAAGTCGAGATTGCTATACCGGAGATTTCTGCATCATGTCCATATGTCGCATTCTCGCGTTGTCGACTTTTGACAAAAAGTGCTACGTATAGCCAAAACACGAGAATGCGAGATCGCGATCTCTTATTCTCGTGTTTTGGGCATATTTAGCTCGTTTCCAAAGTCGAGATCGCGAGAATGCGAGATCGCGAGAATGTCCCTTACAGTATTCCATAGCAAGTAGTTTTGGCTGTTGCCGAATGACTGACTGGGCGGACTGGGCGGACGAGAGACATCCTGTCACCACCACCCAGGAAAACGTGATATACATTTCCTCCATCTGAGGCATCATATTATGACGTCACCAGCTGCAACAGTCATCCTGTCAGTTGCTGGACAGTGACCAGAATGTAACATGATCCTTTATGGGCGGTACATTGATAGGTACCAGTCTAGGGAATTAGACTCCCTTTTACCATTGATTGCACGCTCCTTCCCATCGCGTGACACCTTCGTTACACTCTTGGTCAGTGAGGGTCCGCAGCGGCCTCCAACCCCAAATATAGTCACTATTATACTTTTGTTTATGTCTTTTGGAATCCCATCATAGTGAATTTTGAAAAGGTTTACGACAGACCTACGACTGATTTCCCAGATGAATTAACCTTTTGGTTGTTTGATCAGACTGGTTCGAGATTGTAGACGAACTGAAAATCAACCAACCGCTGTCTGTCTCGACCAGACAATCCAGTGATTGACATCATGGGGATCGATCCACGCAATTGGGATACGATGACATGTATCAACCAAGTCAGCGAGCCTAATCACTCGATCCCGTCAGTCAGTCTGTCGGTTGCGAGTTCAACTCCATGCATGGTTGAAGCAACCTATCACAGTATGGATCTTTGACTGATGGTAGCAATAGTAAAGAGAGTTCCGTGAACGGGCTATCACTGTGAGGGGCTTGACGCGCTTGTTTATCGACGCCATTGTAATGATGTCGAGTGAAACTTCATAAAAGAAGGTAAGCCTACAACAATTGTTGTTTCCACCTTACGGGTTCAGGTTAAACGACATGTAACATGGTGGCAGCAGTCGGTATGTCTGACCATTGACTTTTTCACGTTTTACGTGCTGAATTCTTTCCGATCTGAAGATCGCCGATAATATCAATGGCTGAACCACAGTCCCCAGAAGCAGGATAGTGATGTTACTGAAACACCGGACCCATATATATATATAAATAGACAAGGTATGTCACTCCCCATCTTGACCAAAGTTGAAATCATCTGTATGGTTTAATTAAATGGAAATGTGCGCATGTCGTGTTCACAATACCTCTCCACCTCCCTCCACATACGCCCTGCATGCCATAAACCTTCATTTTCTGGCAATTTAATACCTATATCAGGTGATGTTAACGAAATATTGGCTCAATCTCGCCCAGGAGTCAGAACGGTAACTGAGATCATGGTCAAGTTCGATTCTTTCGCCATAGGGGGTGAATGATAAACATTGTTAGGCAGAAGGTGAATCCTTTGGGGATTTTCACTCAAATATCAGAACACTGATTAAAACGTAACTATTGTGAAGACTGCATTTAGCCAATCCCAGAATAGTGCTGGGAATCCATGACAGGGAAACCAGCAGGCCTTACTGAAAGGAGCGCACGTTAACCCTTGATCGAGCTGTTGACATTTGCAAAGCTGCTGGAAAAGCATCGCATCACATACTGCCTGAAAACTAAAAGTTTTAATAAAGTAGGGTTGTCAGCAAAAACAGAAGGGTAAACTCGTACTCCACACAAAAATATTAAATCAGAAGCAAGAGCGGCTCCATGCAAGAACTGTGGCAGAAATCATGTACCTAGCCGGACTGTTCACAACACCCCAACAGGTCTCAGTAATAGTCCATTGGAAAGTCTCTTTGGTCTCAAGACTAATACTACCATTTCCACAACACTGACCACCTTGAAACCTTACGACCAAAAATCTCTCTCAGGAGCGAGAACTCATGAATGAACGTAAAGTCACGACGGCTGAAAGATATCTTAGTCGTAAAGACCCCAAACCACTTCCGATTGGATCCACAGTCAGAATACACTCTATTGAAAGGGGACAGTAAGAGTGGAAACAAGCTACTGTAACCAACAAGCTGAAAAATAGAACCTATGAGGTAACAGTGGAAAACGGTTCTATGTATAGTTGGAACATACAACACATCAGGATGTTTGTGCCATCACGTAAGCCGTTCACGGACTCAATTGTTTTGCCTGAATCACCTAAAAAAACAAACTGATTTATCTTCAACCGGGTCGCACACATTCAGTCACCTGTTAAGAAATGTTCGAAACAAACACCTTTCATCAAGACACCAGTTGAGCTTACCACACGAGATATGCAAGAACTGTCAAGCGTGTTGAAATGCTGAATATCTGAGAACTTTTAACTTGTTGATCACTAAGTGTTAAGGTCTGAGCAGGAAGACAAGACTTGCTATATGGATGAAGCGGTCTGGACATTTAAGTTGAAACTGTATATTCAGTATTATCTGGTTAACTTCTAGGTGGAAGGATTCTTATGTTTAGCTGCGTTAAAATGAACAATCATTGCAGAGACACTGAAATGAGAACATAGTTCTTTGAGGTCAAGCACCATGCATCTCACTATTTAGAGCTAGTAAAGTATGTGTTGAAGCTTCGTTTCCAAAGAGGTGGGATGATACGTTATCTTCACTATCGATACGTTAATAGGCACCAGCGTAGGAGGTATCTGCCTTCTACCATGTGCCTGGTTAGCGACACCATTCTAATGATGTCGAGTGAAACTTCATAAAAGAAGTTAAGCCTACAACAATACGGGTCTAGGTTCAAGTGTCAATGGCACGTCACACAGAAGACTGCGTACGTCAAACATCAGAGCTTACACACCGCTACGAGATATAACGTTGACACCGGAACACCAACATCGGTGGGATCGAACACTGCGACACTTGAAGAACAAAAACTGGCAAAGATTCATGTTAACAGGAGAGAGGAGATTCCAGCTTTTCAGAGCAGATGGAAACTTTTGGTTTGGGGGCGGCATATCTAGCTAAGTCGTTGCGACATCTGTAGCCAAGTCAAGACAGATCTGGTGATTTTAGACATCGTTACATTGATCAATCTATCTACCCTGTTGTACTACCGTTCTTCGAACAGAATACCCGGACCCTGTTTCAGCAAGATAACTTAGGTCCCATATAACCTCATGCCTTGGCCAGCACAATAACCCGATTAATCACCTAAAGAAAAATTGAGGGATCACCTTAACTGTCAGATTAGAGCACGACCAGGTCGCCCTTACAACAATGATCCTTTAGCACGGGCCCTCTGACAAGAATGGCGTCGAATCCCAGAGAAGTCTCACAACCTTTGCCCGTCGTCGTGTTGGGGCGATATTGATTGACAAGTGTGACGTTCTGAAAGAGTAAATGGAGTTTCATGTGCTGATTTCAGTCTTGATGGTTGATCGATTACTGAACAATTGACCCCATCCTCCAAACTGTGGACACAATACCTTCATATTTGTTCTCATTGACGGCATAACTTGTAACGAGGATGTGAATTCATGTAAATGTTGAATGTTTCCCCGGGTAAGGATACTGATGCTTAATGGGCATTTCACATCACAGTCAACAACTGTCATATAACAGCGGGACCAGTGGAGCTGATGACCTTTTCTAAGGATACAATGCAGTGACGTGCATGATATGGCCTCTTGAAATGGAAGATTTAAAAAGACTAAATATAAATGTGCTACAGGCAAAATGTCTACCATGCTCATGCCTCGATGTCAAAGATTATAGGCATGCTCACGAAATACTCTATTTTTATGAGGACGGCCATATGCAATCCCCCCCCCCCCCCCCCCCCACACACACACACACACACACAAGCAATCAAATTGTCCACCCCCTAGATTTTTAAATCACTGATTTGCAAAGATGTCATTGCGGAAAACACAAGTCGGAATTACCAAAATTTGCGATCATGCAATTTATGTTATTGTTATATATACACTGTGAGACAGGCATTAAGGGAATGAACCTTCCTCGACTTCAAAGATAGCAATGGCACCCATTTGGGAGCCCACGGCGACCACCATCTGATGATCGTGGTGATTAACGATACTGAAACAGAACATAAAACCATATACACAATCCATACCTAAAAATACCATCAACTACAGACATGGTATATGTATTGGTACAATGAGGTTCCCCTATATAGATGAAGAAAGTTTGCACATTGCGGAGGCACAGGGACACACCAAGGTGAACCTCCCAAGTGCTGACACTATTGGCAAGTGTTGTCGTGGGGAAAGAGCAGGTCTGATAGACACAATAGGTCACATATGACCGTGTACTATCTTTACAGTGTACGCACATTAAGTGTTTTCCATCCGGCATTTATCAATAAACAAAATAACAAATTAATAATAATATTTTGACAAAAAATCCAATGTGCAAAGTTATTGGATCCACTTGGTCTTAGTGGGTAAGTGGTTAATTGTACACAAACTCACCCATTGTTTAAAGACGGACTAGAGTCTGGTTTTTACTTACAGTAAATCACTGATGTACTGTACGCCAGCATTCCCGTTGTCGTACAAGGCCCGCCAGTTGCCGTTGATGTCTCCCAGACGTATGTAGCTGAGGAAACTTCCTGTTGGCAAGCCAACAGCCTCCCCTTCTGACACTGAGTACAACCATATTCCTCCCATACGACCACTGCCCACAGCCACAAGAGGCTGGCCATTGTATGTCCCTGCTGCTATCGCCGAAGGTTCAGGGCCCTGGGTAAGAGAGCGTTACTCATATTGCATTTCACAGATCCAAACATACTTATCAATGCTAAAACGTAGACACATTTTAATGTAGTGCCACAAACCATGAACTTAGACCTAGGTAGTGTAGTGTGAACACACCATGGACTAATACTTAGGTAGTGTAGTGCCACACACCATGAACTTAGACCTAGGCAGTGTAGTGTGAACACACATGGACTAACACTTTGGTAGTGTAGCGCCACACACCATGAACGTAAACCTAGGCAGTGTAGTGTGAACACACATGGACTAATACTTAGGTAGTGTAGTGCCACACACCATGAACTTAGACCTAGGCAGTGTAGTGTGAACACACATGGACTAATACTTAGGTAGTGTAGTGCCACACACCATGAACTTAGACCTAGGTAGTGTAGTGTGAACCCACTATGGACTAATACTTAGGTAGTGTAGTGCACACACCATGAACTTAGACCTAGGTAGTGTAGTGTGAACACACTATGGACTAATACTTAGGTAGTGTAGTGCACACACCATGAACTTACACCTAGGTAGTGTAGTGTGAACACACCATGGACTAATACTTAGGTAGTGTAGTGCCACACACCATGAACTTAGACCTAGGTAGTGTAGTGCCACACACCATGAACTTAGGCCTAGGTACTGTAGTGACACACAATGAACTTAGACCTTGGTAGTGTAGTGTGAACACACATGGACTAATACTTAGGTAGTGTAGCGCCACACACCATGAACTTAAACCTAGGCAGTGTAGTGTGAACACACATGGATAAATACATAGGTAGTGTACTGTGAACACACTATGGACTAATACTTAGGTAGTGTAGTGCCACACACCATGAACTTTGACCTAGGGAGTGTAGTATGGACACACTATTGACTAATACTTAGGTAGTGTAGTGTCAAACACCATGAACTTAAACCTAGGCAGTGTAGTGTGAACACACTATGGACTAATACTTAGGTAGTGTACTGTGAACACACTATAGACTAATACTAAGGTAGTGTAGTGCCACACACCATGAACATAGACCTAGGTAGTGTAGTGCCACATACCATGAACTTAGACCTAGGGAGTGTAGTCTGAACACACCATGAACTTAGACCTATATGTAGTGTAGTGTGAACACACCATGAACTTAGACCAAGGTAGTATAGTGCCACACACCATGAACTTAGACCTAGGTAGTGTAGTGTGAACACACCATGGACTAATACTTAGGTAGTGTAGTCCAACACACCATGAACTTAAACCTAGAGACTGTAGTGTGAACACACATGGACTTAAACCTAGGCAGTGTAGTGTGAACACACATGGACTAATTCTTAGGTAGTGTAGTGTTAACACACTATGGACTAATACTTAGGTAGTGAAGTGCCACACACCATGAAATTAGACCTAGGCAGTGTAGTGTGAACACACCATGGACTAATACTTAGGTAGTGTAGTGCCACACACCATGAACTTAAACCTAGGCAGTGTAGTGTGAAAACACATGGACTTAAACCTAGCCAGTGTAGTGTGAACACACATGGACTAATACTTAGGTAGTGTACTGTGAACACACTATGGACTAATACTTAGGTAGTGAAGTGCCACACACCATGAAATTAGACCTAGGCAGTGTAGTGTGAACACACCATGGACTAATACTTAGGTAGTGTACTGCCACACACCATGAACTTAGACCTAGGTGGTGTAGTGTGAACACACTATTGACTAATACTTAGGTGATGTAGTGCCACACACCATGACCTTAAACCTAGGCAGTGTAGTGTGAACACACATGGACTAATACTTAGGTAGTGTACTTTGAACGCACTATGGACTAATACTTAGGTAGGGTAGTGCCACACACCATGAACTTAGACCTAGGCAGTGTAGTGTGAACACACATGGACTATTACTTAGGTAGTGTACTGTGCCACACACCATGAACTTAGACCTAGGCAGTTTAGTGTGAACACACCATGGACTTAGACCTAGGTACTGTAGTGCCACACACCATGAACTAATACTTAGGTAGTGTAGTTCCACACACAATGAACTTAGACCTAGGTAGTGTAGTCTGCATACACCATGGACTTAGACCTTTTTGTCGAAAGTAGTCTATTATGTATGCACCATGTATTCAGATCTTGGTTTGTCGGAGGCAGTGTAGTATGTACGCACCATGTCATCAGATCTTGTGTCTAGATGCTGAGGTGGCGAGAAGCTTGTCGAAAAACAGTCTCCATTGAAGACAGATTTGTTATACTGACTGACTTCGTACTCTAAATCGCTTCCGCTGTCATACACCTGATTGACGCCGTCAGCGTTCCACATCGACCAGCTCCGACCACCGTAGGCATAGGCGTGTTTGAAGTAACCAAAAACGGGGTCCCATCCATCTGACGGTTCTTGTAAAGTGGTGACAAACAGGCGACCTGATGAAACATTCCAACTATAAGAAGCCCCATTATCGCCACTAAGGCCACAACATACACCAACTGAATGAGAGAGATATATGCAAATATGTATATTCCACTTTGAGAAAATCCATATACCAGTCTCAAATAATAGGACTATATAATGATACAGTACTTTTCTACGATGCAATTGCTTGTGGCATCAGATATGGTACAACTGGTTGTGTTACATGCAAAGACCAAGTTTCACGTCTAATATATATGTCTTATGATAATTTTGTAATGATGACCTTGCTTTTGACGAATTTAACCGAAATCTTTATACAGTAGCTACGCATCCTATAAATAATACAATATACGTTTGGGGATTACTCATGTTTACAATAATACACAATTACTGAGCAGGGTTTGTTCTTGTAACCTTTGGAATTAGGAATGTATTTGACTTATTTTACAATGTCATATTAAAACGCCCGGCCAGCAGGCCATAGCATACGATCACTCAATGTTGCTTAAATGTACATGAAAGGATAATAACGCGCTCACCGAGTTCAGCATCATTTTTCATATCGGATTTTGTTTGGGCGTCAAGGGCCGGATCGAACAAAGTTTCTGCACAGAAAATGAAACACCTTATACACAACTACAAGCAGGCGGTTTCCCGGCCCCGACAGGTATTACACAAGTAAAAGTAAATAAAATTATTGTGTAAATCGAGATATATTGATTCTGAGACTATGGAAAACCATTATAGGATAGTTCAAGATGTATTTGATTTAAAGTAGGAACGAATTATTTTGAGGGCAAATTCATTACGTATAGTATTTTCTTGTGCATTTCTAAAAATGTTTTGCGCACCATCCATAAGGCGTGCCCTCATTGCTTCGTTAAAGTCTACCCCCTCCACAGCTGCTGTGTACGCCTTGTATCCACCGGTATTGGCGGTCACAAGGAAGGTGCTGTTGTTAAAGTGGAGTATGTCAACGTTCTTCGCTTGATAGAAGCTACGAATGTTACGACGCACAAGATTGATGTTCTCGTTGCCAGGACTCACAGCTGCAAAACAGCATTAAACAATTTCAGATATTTAACCTACAATATCCCTTCTACACCATGTTATCCACTACATCATGTTCCCCACTACCCCATGTCCTCCACTACACCATATGGCCCACAACACCTTATTCCACACTACACTATACCCCCCCCCCCCCCCAACACACACACCACACACACACCACAGTACCACACACACACCACAGTACGTTCCCCATCACACCATATTCCCCACTAAACTATGTTCCCCACGACGCTATATTCCACACTACACCATATTCCACACTACACCATGTTCCCCACCCTTCTACAGCATGTTACTCACTACAATATACATTCATCCCTACTTCATGTTCCTCGCTACACTATATCCCCCACTATAACATATCCCCCCCCCCCCCCCCCCCCCCCCCTACACCATGGTTCCCCCTAAACCATGGTCCCCAAAAGACCATGTGTCCCACAACACCATGTTTCCCACTACATCATGTTCCCCACTACACCATGTTCCCCACTACACTATGTTCCCAACTACACCATGTTCCCCAGTACACTATGTTCCCCACAACACAATGTTACCCACTACATCGTGTTCCCCACTACATCATGTTCCCCACTACACCATGTTCCCCACTACATCATGTTCCCCACTACACCATGTTCCCCGCTACATCGTGTTCCCCACTACATCATGTTCCCCACTACATCATGTTCCCAACTACACTATGTTCCCCACTACACTATGTTCCCCACTACACCATGTTCCCCACTACATCATGTTCCCCACTACAGCTATTGCTCACTACATCATGTTCCCCACTACAGCACGTTTCTCACTACATCATAATCCTCACTACACCATGTTCCCCACTACATCGTGTTCCCCACTATACCATCTTTCCCACTACATCATTTTACCCACAGCATCATGTTTCCCAGTACACCATGTTCCCCACTACACTATGTTCCCCACTACATCATGTTCCCCACTACATCATGTCCCCTACTTCATCATGTTCCCCACTACACCATGTTCCCCACTATACTATGTTCCCAACTACACTATGTTCTGAACTACACCATGTTCCCTACTACATCATGTTCCTCACTACACCATGTTCCCCACTATACTATGTTCCCCACTACACCATGTTCCCCACTACACTATGTTGCTCCCTGTACCATGTTCCCAACTACACCATGTTCCCCACTACACCATGTTCCTCACTACAGCATGTTCCCCACTACATCATGTTCCCTACTACATCAGGTTCCCAACTAAATCGTGTTCCCCACTACGCCATGTTCCCTACTACACCATGTTCCCCATTACACCATGTTTCCCACTACATCATGTTCCCCACAACGCAATGTTACCCACTACATCATGTTCCCCACTACACCATGTTCCCCGCTACATCGTGTTCTCGACTACACTATGTTCCACACTACACCATGTTTCCCACTACATCATGTTCCCCACTACAACATGTTCCCAGCTACACTATGTTCCCCACTACACCATGTTCCCCACTACAGCATGTTCCCCACTACAGCATGTTCCCCACTACAGCATGTTCCCCACTACACCATGTTCCCCACTACACTATGTTCCCCACTATACCATGTTCCCCACTACACTATGTTCCCCACTATACTATGTTCCCCACTATACTATGTTCCTCACAACATCATGTTCCTCCCTACACCACTCTTCCTACTACATCATGTTCTTGCCTACACCATGCTCCCCACAACACTATGTTCCTCCCTACACTATGTTTCTGGCAACGCTATGTTCCTCATTACACTATGGGGCGGTCGGGTAGCCTAGTGGTTAAAGCGTTGGCTCGTCACGCCGATTCCCGACATGGGTACAATGTGTGAAGCCAATTTCTGGTGTCCCCCGCCGTAATATTGCTGGAATATTGCTAAAAGCGGCGTAAAAAACCAAACTCACTCACTCACTCATTACACTATATTTCTTATTACACCATGTTACCCACTGGCCCGTCGCTATGGATGAAATATTGCCGATGCGACGTTAAAGTTACTCCCTCACTTACCCACTTTTCCATGTTTGACAATACCGGAAGCACGACACCGCCATTTAGAATGACCTCACTAAGTATGTGTTTAAACAATAAAAAATACCCTCACTGAGTGAAAACATTACTATGAACTTTGAGCATTGGTCCACGTGGCGATAGAGAGGCGGCTTCCGGGTGAGCAAGGAAAAATTAAGATGTTTAACTGCCCAACCCTCTGAAATTTGGAGGCTATTCCTTGTCTACCGTTGTCTCTGTCACTGGTGTCGATGTCAAAGTTGTTCCAGTCCTTGGAGCCAAGGCTGTAAATGTCCACCCCGCCCGCAAGGTTGTTCAGGTCGAACTTGGCGACAACATTGTTCTCCTGCAACATTCGGCTGAAAGCGTTATGTTAATGTAAGATGTATTTATTTCCTATTCAATTTAGATGATTTAAGGAGTTTACTTCAGCATGAAAATATTCACGATAACTAATATGTTGCCCACTGAATCAAAGAATCCGATTCGAAATATTGTTTTGCAGAAAGTTGGTGTTCAATACCTAGGATAACGATGTTCACGTGTAGAAAGTTGGCGTTCAATACCTAGGATATCGATGTTCACAGAATGATTGTGTTCAATACCTACGTTATCAATGTTCATATGTAGAATGCTGGTGTCCAATACCTAGGGTATCGATGTTCATACGTAGAATGTTGGTGTTCAAAACATAGGATATCAATGTTCACATGTAGAATGATGTTGTTCATAACCTAAGATATCAATGTTCAAATGTAGAATGTCAGTGTCCAATACCTAGGATATCAATGTTCATATGTAGAATGTTAGTGTCCAATACCTAGGATATCAATGTTCACACACAGAATGTTGTGTTCAATACCTAGAATATCAATGTTCACATGTATAATGATGGTGTTCATTACCTAAGATATCAATGTTCACATATAGAATGTTGTGTTCAATACCTAGGAAATCAATGTTCACATGTAAAATGTCAGTTTTTAATACCCAGGGTATCAATGTTCACATGTAGAATGTCATTGTTTAATACCTAGGATATCAATATTCACATGTAGCATGTCAGTGTTCAATACCTAGGATATAAATGTTCACGTGTAGAATTTCAGTGTAATTCTTTGGCTGCCAGTGCTTTTGAGTGCGATGTCAATGTTAACACCTTGGTTATCAATGTTGGTGGGTGCGATGTCAAAGTAAATACCTTGGTTGTCAATGTTGGTGAGTGCAGTGTCAATGTTAATACCTTGGTTGCCAATGTTGGTAAGTGACATGCCAATGTTAATAGCTTGGTTGTCAATGTTGGTGAGTGCGATGCCAATGTTACTACCTTGGTTGTCAATGTTGGTGAGTGCGATGCCAATGTTAATAGCTTGGTTGTCAATGTTGGTGAGTGCGATGTCAATGTTAGTACCTTGGTTGTCAGTGTTGGTGAGTGTGATGTCAATGTTAGTGCCTTGGTTGTCAGTGTTATGTTAATACCTTGGTTGTGAATCTCAATAGGCAGGATGTCAATATCCATATAGGTAAGCTATCGCGTGGATTAAAGTTTTGAGATGCAATTATTTCAATTGTTATATCCTTATGCGTTCACTAAGGCGTGCAGATGTGTCAACTTGCAACTAGAGAGTTGTGATATATCGCACATGAAAGGTAACGTAGACACGATTATTGTCGTCTATAGTGAGGTCACTGGGCTCCAGGTCGTTAAGTACAGAATGCTGAGGATTGGAGCCGTCCTTAAACACATATCTCGCCTGATCCAGTCCCCTCGCACCCCTGTGTGGAGAAAGTGCATCGTCAGTGTCAGATAGGGAAATCCTATATGGTTTACATGGGAATGATTTAATCTGCAAGTTTTATATTGTTTAAACGAAGACACGTGGTTTTAACACAAAAGAGGATAAAGAAGAATGTCAACTTTAAAAAGTTTTTAAAATTTCAACCTGCTTGTGTATTGTAATAGTTTATTGTAGCCTTTATCTCACTGGAAATTGATGGTGAGTTTGGTCCAGCCATTCACTTGGGGTTCAAACACGTCCACGTGACCCAAAGGGTCCTCAAACGCGTTGTTTCTCATGCCAGGCAGACCCTCGCAGGCCACGACAAAATGAAAGCAGGTACTGTCAAACTTTACAGCAGATGGGTCCGATTCAGCTGACAAATATAAGAAGTTGTTATGCCTCTATTACAAACTTTGCAATTCCATTGGTTAATCCGTACCACGTGACGAAACGATACATTCCAATGCAGACCCCGAAATCATGTGAATGACACTGACCTTGAATATTTACTCGTCACATAATCAGTATTGACCTCTAACGTGATGAATATTGACTGGTCTGTTAGAAAACAAGATGGCGCCTGGTACGAACTTTTCACGTTTCTCGGTTAAGTAAATGTAATTAAACAAAGGACGGTTTTAAAACTTTAAAGTAAATGACAAATATGCGAAATCAATACCCTCGGACTGTATAATAATAGACACGTGTTGTTTCATAGTAGATAGTGTAGAACAGGCATAAACATGACACATGTATGATGTGATAGGCTATCTGATTATTACAATATAATAACTTATAATTTCTTGTTCGCAATAGCTGTTACTTCGTAATGTTCGAATTTGTGATAGTTGACGTTACTGTACTTGATACACGCCCGAGAAGTGTAAGTGTCTGGTCGAATCGGAGAAACGGCTTGAAGACCTCAACATGGCCCTCATTCAGCCTTTCCTTGGCGGAGAACGCTACGACCAATTCTTCACGCTGGGGGCTACGACAGAATGCAATAGCCTTTGGGATACCATCTGTGATCTCGCTGAATACACGAGTGAACACAATTTGGGGATCGCTGTGATTCACCAGATCCACAATATGTAGAGTCTCAGATTGGGCCCCTGAAACACAATGTATGAAATGAAGTGACACGACAAGCTCGGAATAATATTTAATAGTGGGGCTTAGTGGAAGTTCTGCAAATATTAAATGATTGAAGATAATGATATGTGGGACGCCATTTCAAATAAGCATCAGAATTATGTATTTCGTAAAATGACCAGCCTTGTGTAGCCAATAACGGGTTGGAATACATCTTCAGCAACCCATGCTTGCCGTTAAAGGATACTATGCCTGTTGTAAGAGGCGACTAACGGGATCGGGTGGTCAGGCTTGCTGATTTGGTTGATGCATGTCTTCGGATCCCAATTGCGTAGATGGATGCTCATGATATTAATCACTGGATTGTCTGGCCGAGACTCGATTACTTACAGAACGCCGTCATACAGCTGTAATATTGCTGAGCGTGGCGTAAAACAACAAACAAACACACCAATAATGTACATTACCTATTACATAGAGGTAGTTCTCCTGGTCGTCCCAGGCCACCTTGTCTGCGGTTCCCAGGAAAGGAAGAAGGCGGTTGGAGGCGTCAGGAATAGGGAGCCAGCTTCGAAATTGGAGCACGGGCACAGCTCCACACAGCGTCGCACACAGCAACACAACAAAAGCATAGGACATGGCTACTCGTGGGTCGGCACGGGTCGGGCGTACTGGGGTAGAATGTTGATACTCTTTGTGAGTAAGCAAAAAGTAACTTGGGAGGGGAAATATATGTACGGTTCGTCGACGTGTATATAATCAACTAGTTGCTTCAATAAGCAGAGAGCCGTTTGAAATGAACGAGTTTCCACGAATGTGTTTGTTGTACCGCATAAAGTATGAATTTGTCACCTGTATAAAAACGCATTCTACTAGGACATCTTACAATCCTGACTCCTGAAAGGTCCATTAAGTATCTAACCTACGTTAGGCCACATTTTTCCATATGACCGCATCACCGTCAGAGGAAATATTTTCTTCGGAACTTTTTTCATAAATTCGACCGGTTGTCAATTTCCAAAATTCAAACTCAGCATATGGCTCTTCTCTAGGGTTGCGTTGCAGAACCTGAGATGAGCGATTAATTTGCTTTCTCTAAGCGATTCGTGGCTTGCAACGTGCCCTAGGTCTGTCAGGTACTGTGACGTCACGCCTGGTACGTCATAAAGATTGAACGTCTTGTCTGTGCAACGTTAGGATGTCATAATAATAGAGTGTACATGGAGTGTACATGGAGTGTACATGGAGTAACATGTGTCACTAGCGGTGTGTCGGGAATTTTACTGGCTGAATGGGTTTTGACGAAGGCAAAAATATCATTACAAGTTAAGAGACGTAGTTTTGGTGAAATATTTGTGTGTGCCAAATAAGATCCCTCTTGCTACTACGAACATTTAGTGTGGTAACTCAACGAGGGAACAGAGTCACTTGTGTAAGGAGCAGGTGACGTAACATAATGACGTCAAGATGTTCGTTCAGGCCGACTTGTATGTGTTTTCCAAGAATTCGTCTGATAATCATAGAGATTCTTTAGCGGATAGTGATAACCATTTTCCGAGGTTATCTGCGCTAGATGGCGTCATTGTCTCTCATAGAAGTGAATGGTTTTGAGTATGAAAGTAATCTTGCGCAGATTAAAACCGATGCAATTTTACTCGTCACGTCTGCTATTACGAAAGACTTCGCGTTTATTTTCTCATTTGTTTCTTTAAAATTGATGATAAACCAAATGTTTTCAATTTAGAGGTTTTGTCAAACCCCGTAATTGTAACATTTATAGGCACCAAATGTACAGTAGGTATATTTCCAAAATACAAAACAATAATGCTTGCTCCACCGAGGTGAACTGAATGAGTATTTGGCTATCACTCATCCACGTGGATGAAGCTACGTCAGCAAGGCCTAGCGTCAAAGCAGATGGTGATTTTTTCTCCTGGCGTGGAGCACGATCGAATATGAATCTATTATCTTAGTGTTTGTAAAATGACCACCTTATGAGTACAAAACTGAATATCTGAAACAGTCTGTTCACGTCTTCAGAAGACGTCACCTGCCAGGTAGCTTCAGCATTTCAGAACCACGTGACGTGACCTACTCAATCATACCCCTTGAACATTAAGTAGTATGTGTTTTTTCATCTTACCTGTACTATAAAAATGAGCGGTCTGTTGAAAGAAGGTTTCAGAAGCCCTCTGCCTTCAGTAGTTAGGCAGATTCACGGACCGTCGTCTCAGATAAGATAATGGCAGATAAATGTATCAGTCGGTTAATATATATGTGCTACGTTACTGGGGCCAGAGTAGTTTCGCTATTGCAGCTAACATGTCAAGGTGGACACTCGTCGCAAGGATAATGTGTATTTGCAACATTATTTTACATATCAAAGCAATTTCAAAACCTCAATGATACGCCCTGTTACTTTTTAGTGTGCGTTTTAAAATATAGATAATTCATCCAGTGATACCCAGAATTCAAAATTGTGTTACCTTAATTCAGGAGTCTAATACATAAAGTTAATTGTATGAATTCATTCCGCAATCAATTTTACCTTACTTGAAGCAAGTTGGCACAATTTCTCTACACGATTGTATATTACTCATGATAAACAAATTCAAATATTTCGGGACTGTAAGCGATAACAAAGTGGAAGACTTTTGATTCTTAGAAATGTTATAAAACTGGCACAATCGTATACAAACACGAGCTCTTGTAAATGACTTCTTCTTTGGTTTTGATTGTCTAGATTCATTAGCTATTATACTTTTTAGAATATCTGTCAGGCGAAGTCAGACATTCAGATTCTCAAAGAACATGTGAAACATGGCTTCTATGAGATCATACACATTTACAAAATGTTGACTGAAAACGTTCAATGATCGATTTTCTGTCAGTACACATTTATCAGATCCATATAACAAAATAGATCCCATTTGTGTGTCAAATATTTTAAACAGTATATCTGGTGGTATGTTCTTCTGTCGCCTGTCAATATTGAAGAGTGTTTTGGTGTCCTTTGGTGTTAATATGTTGTCAGCTTTGTTCCATCATGGAACTTGATGAGAGTTTGAGAGAGTATGTCCAGCATTGGAGATAGTGTAATCACGCCCAGCCATAGTGCAAGAAACCTGGGCGTTGTTATGGATCCGATCCACCGCTTGGATAAGCATATGACAACCATATTACCATATTTACGACCTCGGACAAATCAGGAGAGATATGTCATCGTCGAGGGGACAAGAACACCTGATGGAGAACGCTTCCCTCCAATAGAGACTTAAACTACTCACCGATAGTACCATACAAGCCAGCAGGTACTCTCCGATCAAAAGATCAACATGTGCTGGTGGTGCCAAAGTCACGTACCAAAACACAAGGCTATAGGTAATTTTAACATGCTTGCTCTGGAACAATCTGCCACAAGAAATCAGAAAAATTGACAGACTTTAAAAAGACACGCAAAACCTGTCTCTTCAATAGAGCCTTCAACTAGAAGAATCATGTCTAAGTACATATGAGCAGTTGTTAATTGGAAAATGCGTTATACAAATTCTTAATTTAATTTAAAAGCACACCCAAAAACATGTAATTAGTTGAAGTCTTCATGTCCATGTCGTCATATTTCCATGTCCCCTGGTGTCCCTTAACGATACCACCATTTTCCTGAAAAGTAATACACGCATCTAATCTAAATTCCATTTAATCCCCATTATAGAGATATAATTTCTAGAAAATCCTGATAAAGATCTCTCAGCACTGATTCTTAAAGCATCACTATTAGTTCTACAATAAACGGTGAAAATAACAATGGACTCAAGAGACTTACTTGCCTTACTCCAGTGATTGTGTTTAAGTATTCCGTTACAGATGTGTTTGAGATGTTCAAAGCAGCTTTCACTTTGAAAAATAATCCTTGACAAATGGTATATAATTGTTCTTGAATACCTTTTGGGATTCCTAATATCTTCGATATTATATTAACAAAAAAAATGAATTCTGTTTAAGATGTATACACATGTCGTTGATTTCTCATAATCTGTTTCACTGATATCTGAAATCCAAATATGTGTTATCAATGAATATCAAACTTATTTTCTGACATCGTTTATAGGATAAAATGTATGTTTATATTTTTTAGTAAACATCAAACAGTAAATCTGCGTCTCATACCATAATAGCAACAACAGTGTATTGGTTTTACAAGTGAATGACAAGTGCTACCATACAAAAGTGTGAATCGTCAAGCAATCACAATTTACTTTCATCAAACCATTCCTCTCTATTGTGACGTTACCTCCCGTTGCCACTTTATGCTTCAGTTGCAGTATCGTTGGAAGTAACGAAATGCATGTAACCATACAGCAAAACACCGTGATATATATGCTTCATGTTTCATGGTATATATGGTTTATATTACGTGATATATATGGTTCATGTTTCATGGTATATATGGTTCATGTTTCATGATATTTATGGTTCATGTTTCATGGTATATATGGTTCGTGTTTCATGGTATATATGGTTTATGTTACGTGATATATATGGTTCATGTTTCATGGTATATATGGTTCATGTTACGTGATTTATATGGTTCATGTTTCATGATATATATGGTTCATGTTTCATGGTATATATTGTTCATGTTTCATGGTATATATGATTAATGTTACGTGATATATATGGTTCATGTTTCATGGTATATATGGTTTATGTTACGTGATATATATGGTTCATGTTTCATGGTATATATGGTTCATGTTACGTGATATATATGGTTCATGTTTCATGGTATATATGGTTCATGTTTCATGGTATATATGGTTCATGTTTCATAGTATATATGATTCATGTTACGTGATATATATGGTTCACGTTTCATGGTATATATGGTTCACGTTTCGTGATCTATATGGCTCATGTAACGTGACATATACCGCTTGTTTCGTGATGTATATAACCAGCCATATGTTGCCTCACACTACATCTGTAGCCTCTTTACATACGTAGTTAGTGTGTATATTTTGTTACACGGTGGTTTTTGCTTGGTAATATGATCTCCGTTATATGTCTCCAAGAGAAGCAATCCCTAGGCCCCTCTGCATAAGGACCAGCACTGGGCCTGTTTATGGAATGTCTTTTTGTAACTTGAAACTCCACAATCTCTGCTCAGATCCGAGCAAATTCTGACCACTGGAGATGCAGTATGTACCTGTTGTGTCACCTGTTTTGTTGATCAAGTACACTTATTTGGCTTACGCTATTTCTAAGAAAGTTAAAAAAAGGTTTACCACATATTACATGTTACCAATGTTTTGCAATTTTTAATAACATTTGAAGGACCTCAACTTACCAATTGAAATAAAATATGATAGCAATTTTAAGCAAGAGTGACCTGTATGATTTTTATTCCCCAGAAGTTTACAGGTTGACACTTGAATGACCTTTGATAATACCGTTGTTAGAAACCCGGAGACAGAGATTAGTTGGGAATAGGATCACCTGTTCCGCCTGCTGGGGTTATCTCGACTCACAGACAAGTAGTTGCCACCGATCCCACGCCATGCCTTCCACAGATAATCACTTTGTGTGTCTGTGTCGCTCCTTGAGTGACAACAAGTGACACCAGTAAAACACGTGGCAATGCTGGTGACCGATGTGGTCACTACATGCTAACCTTGACTTGTGGCATGTGTTTCCGTATAGAAACTTGTGAACATGGACAGTCGTGATGTTTGGATAGGACGACAACAGTCCTGTGGTATAGATTACTGTATCAAAGTCATTGTAGCTTACAAAATATAAATACCGGGGCAGCTGCAAGGAGACATGTAGTTTCATTTTCTTATGGTAGCGCACATTGTGCATGAGTCAAAACCGTTATGAGGAATGGTTTTGAATATCAAAGGCACGACATAAATGTCGATCGTCAGGGCCTCATTTTAATCCTAGTTATTATTATTGAAGCTTGTCGATTATCAACTATCTTCAATTAGAATGAAAGCAATTCCCAGGAGGAGATATGAATGTTGTTCAGGATCTTTTAAAGGACAACTATAATTATACACAACAAAATACCAACTTACTGAAATTGAAGAATGTTTAATCCAGACACATACACGAAGGCAAAGTAACCTCATCAAACGAAGTAGTGTGGGGTAGCTTCTTGTTTCAGGAGACATTCTGTCACCTGATATATCCTTCTGTTGGAATAAGCCTCAAAACTTATCACTCATTTATGTTTCTTGTATTGGCATTAAATCCCACTTCGCGAGGACCGGCTTATAGGAAATGTAATACCCCCTATTGCATGTCTAAGAATATATAACTATAGCAAGGTGCCATGTATGATTATCGTGTATCAAGGGACATAGATAATTTAATTGATGCAAAACGCGCGGTAAATGGTCAATTCCTGTTTGATTTATTGAAGATGATAACAAGGCCTGAAACAATTACATTTTTGTACAATGTAAAAATAGATGTTGATAAAGCGGAGAATATGCTGGAGTTCAAGATTGGCAAGTTCAAGTCTATCTATGACAGACTCACAGGTGATAAAACAAACCTACATTTGAAGATGCCACAATTAGAAACAATGTGAAATAGTAAGAATGAAGGGAAACATTTAGGAGTAAAACCAAAATGATATGAAGAAGCTGAACATATTATGGAGTCGTTTCTGAATTTGGAAAAACGAAATCATGTCAATAAGAACTTATGAGAGAAATAATTAATTATAAAAATGAACAGTTTATAAGTATGTCGGATATACTAGATGAAACATTGTCGTTGCACAAAAAATTATATATTAGCGATGAAGTAGGTAAATACACTCACTTTGATATTAATGCAGATGAATGTGCGCAAACATTACATAAAATGAATAATTAGACAAAAAAAGTCCAGGGTTTCATGTTTTTCAGCCTATTTGTTTATGGTTCATCTGGAGAGATATTGGATCCTTGTATTGAGATGCATTAAAAAAACACACGAAGTGATCAACAAGTTAAGATCGCGATCGACACTTTTGTCTTGCAGATTTAGCATCCTATAAATCTACTCGTTTCCTAATTGTGTAGATCGATGCTCATGATGTCAATCACTGATTGTCTGGTCATACTCGATTTTTACAGACCGCCGTCATATAGCTGGAATATTGCCGGTTACGGCGTTAAATAAAAAAACAAACAAACAAATAAACAAACTTATTATAAAGCACATCTCCGATAGCTTACAAGTCCTCCCCGATAAAATTAGTGAAACCCAAACTGGCTTATTCAAGAATCTTTTCATTGGGGAAAACAATTTGGGAAAAAACAATTATTTTGAAATGAGAAATAGATAAAATCCCAGACCGACTTAATACTGTACACGTTTAGAAAGCTTTCGGTAATATGTAGAGGGCATTCACAGACAAAGCCGCAGTGGCGTTAACTTTAACTCATCCTTAAGCACTGGGTAGGGCTTTCAGAATACATATTCTATTTTAAGACAATGATAAGTTCAAAGGAAAGTGGTTTATATTCTTAACCTTAAGACACTAGTGGACCGGTGTAGTGGTGGCACGTGGTCCTAATTCAGCGAATACGACACAAACCTGTCTGTCTGTCTGTCTGTCTGTCCGTCCGTTTCTAAGATGCTTCGATAAAAGATCAAAGGCGCCGACTGTACTTTATTAAAGTAGTTACGTCATAATGGGCTGACGTCACGAAGCTGTTTAAATTATCTCCCATTCCCACCAGGGTAGTGCATACGCCAGGTCAAATCGATTAGTGTACGACAAACTTTGTATCTCCCCGTTGTTACCATGGTACATAAACAAGTTCCACTCGTGTAGTGTGCGACCTACTTTGTATCCACCCGTTTGTACCATGGTACATACACCAGTTCCACTCGAGTAGTTTTCGACCTACTTTTGTATCTCCCCGTTGTTACCATGGTACATACACAAGTTCCACTCGAGTAGTGTACGACCAACTTCGTATCTCCCCGTTGTTACCATGGTACATACACCAGTTCCACTCGAGAAGTTTTCGACCTACTTTGTATCTCCACGTTGTTACCATAGTACATGCACAAGTTCCACTCGAGTAGTGTACGACCTACTTCGTATCTCCCCGTTGTTACCATGGTACATACACCAGTTCCACTCGTGTAGTGTACGACCTACTTTGTATCTCCCCGTTGTTACCATGGTACATACACCAGTTCCACTCGTGTAGTGTACGACAAACTTTGTATCTCCCCGTTGTTACCATGGTACATACACAAGTTCCACTCTAGTATTGTACGACCTACTTTGTATCTCCCCGTTTATACCATGACACATAGACCAGTTCCACTCGAGTAGTTTTCGACCTACTTTGTATCTCCCCGTTGTTACCATGGTACATACGCCAGTTCTACACGAGTAGTGGACGACCTACTTTGTATCTCCCCGTTTGTACCATGACACATACACCAGTTCCACTCGTGTAGTGTACGACCTACTTTGTATCTCCCCGTTGTTACCATGGTACATCTCGCGCAGTATTCTACTTGGTCAGAATGTTCGTTTTTTTATGTGCAAATAGATCTGTCCTCAAAACTGTCGTACATAACATTTAATATCCAAGGTGAAACTAATCCACACAAACCAACGTTCAAATGATTAACTGCGATATGTTTCTAAACGTTTATTAAACATCATTGCTTAGGCTACATTTTCATCTGATGGGCAGTGTGGATTATTCCTGAGAATCGTCGTCCAGTGTCCGTGCAGGCCATGTCTCGTCAGCAAGCGTGTACACTGATATGCTTCCACTGGCCTCAGAAGTCACGATTACGATAGGGGTTCCCACTGACGAAATTCTGCAACACAGTGATGACAAACACACTTAACTTGTCAGGTATGATTGGTGACCGCGTAGATGCGAGCCCCGGCTGTGTCAAGCGTTAAAAGACGCTAAAATTGTTACCGACCTTGGCAGTCGGCATTAGGAGCATAAGACAAGCAGTGACCGACTTGGAGTCCATATACTGTATCTGAGTGGGGTATTCATGATAAACTTTTGAAATTGTGTCTCAGGGGGCTTGCACTTTAAAACTAGTGCAATCAGGCACGCGCACGTTCACACACACACACACACACACACACACACACACACACACACACACACACACACACACACACACACACACACACACACACACACACACACACACACACACTCACTCACTCACTCACTCACTCACTCACACTCGCACGCACGCACGCACGCACGCACGCACGCACACACAAAGAGCAATAATCTTGAACGCGAAGTTAAAACCTATTTCACCTCATCTCACCTCTGAGTGGTGAGACTTACTTGATGTCAGATATAATGGCATCTCCCATGTCCTCCCTGGCGTACAGATTTGTCCAGGTTGCATCTATTTCCCCGGCTCTGTGCACACTCTGGAACTCTGGGGTGGGGTTACTGATGGTTGGCTGTAAGCTATATACGTAGAGTAGGCCGTTCCTGCCGCTCCCAAGAACCATCACTGAACGCCCTCCGAAATCTCCAATGGCTACAGAGTTTACTTCTGGACCCTAGGTGAACAATTTTAATATTACTAAACCATATTTATTCACATCTTCAAAAATAAGCAGCGTAACCTTCCAGATTTGTTTTATTTAGCTTACGATGAGGTTTGGGGCGGTCGGGTAGCCTAGTGGTTAAAGCGTTCGCTCGTCACGCCGAAGACCCGGGTTTGATTCCCGACATGGGTACAATGTGTGAAGCCCATTTCTGGTGTCCCCCGCCGTGATATTGCTGGAATATTGCTAAAAGCGGCGTAAAACCATACTCAGTCAGTCAGTATGATGAGGTTTAGTCACAGGTGCATCTCCTGACTGTCTGTGGAGCGGGAAACAACTCACCATCCACGTGGATCTGGCGTCCATCTCTTGCGCGGGGGTTTGCGAGAAGGTGGCGCAGTTACCATTGAATGTATTGGGGAAGTACTGGCGACTGTACCTCTCCAGCTCGTCACCGCTCTCCCAGGTTCGCTCCATCGACTGTGTGTTCCAGATTGAGAACCCACGTCCACCGAAAGCATAGGGAACGTTCGGCGTGTCATCAAACCCGTCAACATTAGAGACGTACAGGCGACCTGCACGACACAATCAATGTCAACAGTACTGGATATCACCTGCGACCACCTACTGGAACTAAAGAAAATTGGTGCGTCTGGTTGAAAGTAAAGGAAAATGCAGCACCGCCCATTTTGAAAGTTTGGAAAGAGGTTTCACTGGTTCTGTCGGCATACTGTTACAGCAGTTAGAATATCAACCAGGTAGTTTGTGTATCTCGTATGCCGAGCAGTGCTACTGTAGGCATGGCTATGTGTACCACATGCAAACACGTATTGTTATATTTAATTACCAAGTTCGGCGTTTGATTTCAGTTGAGAGTTCAGTTCAGGATCATTTACATTCCATGCTGAAAACAGAATAGAACCGTATAGAATACAATATCTGTTAAAGATTCACTTCATAATGAACATTTAAACCCTTGGTGAGGAGTATATTCATATTCGCTTCAGTAAAACGTAACCTGGCAGGGGCATACGTTAGACAATGATTTGAATTGGTCTGCATGTCTCGTCTCATTAGAACGAGCTTTCCCCGATTACCGACATGCGCCGGTGGCAAACTATCATTTTTCACGAAGAGCATGGAAATATACCTTGTGTGGGAATATAGGTATTTCACTTTGCTTCCTGAATTATATTTTCATCCTTGGGGAATTATGAGCATCTCACAATTTATGCACCAATTTATGCAACCCCCAACCACCCCGACCCCCAACCACCTCCACCCCCAACACCACCCCGAACCCACCTTTCACACTGACCTAGTTGCCGAAATGTACATACTCAGTGATGCCGCTCTAGCGTAGTCTTGGAAGGTGACCCCGGGGATGTTGGTTGGTCTCCCCTCGTCAGTTGTCACCAGGTAAGGTATATCAGCCCCCCATGTGAAGAAGGCGACTTTGTCGGGCTGGTACAAGCTGCGGATTTTCCTCGATGCCATCGCGATACCTGCAAGTTCAAAATGTATATATATACACACACACACACACACACACACACACACACACACACACACACACACACACACACACACACACACACACACACACACACACACACACTCTCTCTCTCTCTCTCTCTCTCTCTCTCACACACACACACACACTCACACACACACACTCTCACACACACACACACACTCTCTCACACACTCACACACACACATATATATATATATATATATAATGTGTGTGTGCCTACACGAGTGTATGTGTTAACTGTTAATGTATGTCAACGCGACAGTAATGCGTAAACCGTTATATGTATGTCAACGCGCCAGTAATGCGTAAACACTTATATGTTTGTCAACGCGACAGTAATGCGTAAACTGTTGCATGTATGTCAACGCACCAGTAATGCGTAAACACTTATATGTTTTTCAACGCGACAGTAATGCGTAAACTGTTGCATGTAAGTCAACGCGATAGTAATGCGTACGCCGCTATATGTATGTCAACGCCACAGTAATGCGTAAACTGTCATATGTATGTCAACACAACAGTACTGCATAACCATTACATACATGTATGTCAACGCCACAGTAATGCAGAAAGCGTTATATGTCAACGCCACAGTAATGCGTAAACTGTCATATGTATGTCAACACAACAGTAATGCATAACCATTATATGTATGTCAACGCCACAGTAATGCATAAACTGTTATATGGATGTCAATTCGACAATAAAGCGTAAACCGTTATATGTCAACGCGACAGTAATGCATAAACTGTTACATGTATGTCAACACAACAGTAATGCATTACCGTTATATGTATGTCAACGCCACAGCAATGCATAAACTTTTATTTGTATGTCAACACGACAATAAAGCGTTAACCGTTATATGTATGTCAACGCGACAGAAATGCAAAAACTGTTACATGTATGTCAACGCGACAGTAAACCATCATTATGTGTATCTACACTGTTGTATGAAGTATTCCCTTGTTTTCTTTTACCTCCCTTTGATACTGAAACAATCTGCCCTTAAAAAGAAGGATCTTAGATCATTTTCATAGCCGTTATCGTTGGCCTTATAAGTTCACTACAACGTAGAAAATCAACAGGGTTAATCATTTATCATACAACTCACCATTGTCTCTGTCACTGGCATCTATGTTTAAAAACTCCCAACTCTTGTTGCCCATCGGGTATATGCTGGTGATCACAGAGTTCTCCAGATCAATCCTTGCAATGGCATTGTTTTCCTATGTTTAAACAGATATAAGAGTTGTGTTAGCAAGTAGCGTGTAGTGTATGCAGCCTGACGTGTACGTCCATGCTTTCTGAGTTAGAAAATAAGACATGCCTGCAAGGTGATGTATGCAAACCCATTGCTAGGTGAGATGGCCACATACTCCGGCTCCACGTTCTGGGAGAACTGGATTATGTTGGAGGGATCGTTGGGGTCACGGCGAAGCCAGTAGCGGACACCTTGATTCAGTAGCGTGCTGAAAAACACCAGTCAATGCCACTGAAATAAACATTAATAAAAAAGAATTATTTCTGTTATCGATTATAAATATCTTTTAATGCTGTTTAAAGTGTGTTCTTTTCATATAAAATGGAAAATGTCCTTTGTGCTTTACACAAGTTCACTCTGTTCGTCGTATTTCTTGAAGTCAATGGTTGTGACTGTTGGTAAAGCGCCAGGCGTTGTGGAGAATGTAACCACAGAAACTGTCCCCTCGGGGTCATAGAAGGTGCCACCGACGACCCGGGGCTCCCCCTCGTTAGATACCACCAGACGACGGCAGTCGCTAGTGAACTTCATGTTGTCAGGATGGGCTCCCACTGGACGGGAAGAGATCATATTACAGGGCACAATACGATTACGTTCTTTTTACTAGCTATTCAAAGCTGTCATAATTGACAGCGCGCATTATATAGAACAGCATTTATGACATGATGAAAACGAAGGTGAAATATGGACCTGACGTCTGATTACCTAAGAGACGCTTAAGGCACCAGATGTTGGCATGTCTGTCCATTCACCTTTTGCTACGGCAAAGTCTATATTCGCATATATTGAGCGACATTTCAGTGTTGATAAGTTACGATTGTAGGTAAATCTGCATTGTGTTCTGAAAATGGTGATGGGACTTTCTACATTAAGTTACCAAGATATTCAACTGACCGGTAATCCTAGGATCTGTTGGGTTGAGGGGAGTGAGTGTATCTGAGCTGCTCTCAAACAGATTATAAAGAACCAGATGTCCCTCAAAAGCCACAGAATCTTGGCCGTCAAAGGTGACGGCCAGTGTGGGTGTAACCCCTGCCGCCCGACACAGCTCCACATCCAGAGGACGGCCGTCGGCGGCGACGTTGAAATTGTAAGTGTAGACTTCCTGCGGGTTGGCGGGGTCAGCGAGGGAGATGATGTGCAACATAGCCGTGTCACGACCTGACAAAACAAAACTGACATGTAAAAAAGGGGCATCTGTCGCTCGTATTCTTTAATAATGTATCCAAAACTGCATCAGCAGAACAGCAAGGTATACGAAATGCTGGACTCACCAACAACATAGAGGTAACTCCTGGCATCATCATAGGCGCTCTCCCTGGCTGTTCTGCTGTTGACGACGTACTGGCCGTTACGGTTGGGGAGTCTCAGATAGGATGCCTCTTTCAGTACCACCACACCATAGGCCACGCCCACTAGGGCAACCATTCCAACCAAACACACGTGCATTGTGCTGATGAGTCGTCTGAAGCAAAACAACATACGTTGAATACAACCAGCTGTATTAGCGGCGAAGTTTTAACGGAACTTCATGCTGATGACTGACACTCCATACAAGCAGTCATCAAAGTGCTTTATTTACCTACTGTTACTACTGTTTCAATATACACATAGTATGTACCACCTGTCTTATATCGTCTTATATGGGGTATTTAAATAGGTTTGCTGAAAAAATGTACCGTTGCATATTTTATTAACACATGTGTTTTACAAATCGCTGAATACTTCAGTAGTTCAGATACCAGCTTAACCTGTATAATGACCATTTTTATATGGACGTAGTATTTTGTACTTCACACGGTTATCTCTATTATGTGTGGAGGCTATTTGTTTCATATAACCACCTCATACATGGGGTATCTAATGAGTTATCGCATAATCAATACCATTATCGACTGTAAATGGCTGATTGTGGGGACATCGAAGTTGACCTTGTTTATTTATATCATCCACACGGCCCTACAGGCTGCGCTAAACACCCTCAACCAGTGTTGTTGTAGTTTCAGTTTGAGTGATACCATACAGAAAGTATAGTACGACATATCCATATTGCTTCCTGTCATCGTCCTCACACATCATATTTCGTTCAAAGAAAATTTCAGTGGTAATGGTTTTTAAAATGACTTAATGACTTAATGTCGGTGTATGGTTTGGTATTATCTTGCTCATATTTAACACAGATTCAATACGTTCTACACCACCTGCCCTAAAACGTCTTTCCTTGTTATATTACTTTCTACGAAATGCTTACAGAGAAAATAGAATAAAGCGATACCCTGTTTCAAGGTTAAAACTACAATTTCAACATACATGAAAAGCTGGGAAAGCTGGGGCGCGTGATGGTTCATGACGTGAGCATTCGAAGTGACTATGTATGACTATCTCCTTTGTACAAGATTTGCATGTGCTCATCAACTGTTATATATACACTACAAATCGGTTAAAATTTAAAAGTAAATAGCGTAAAAATCAATCTATTTTTTTTCACTTTCCCTTGAATTCAGAATATTATACCACGAAATATAGAACTACAAGGAGGTGTTTATTCCAGTAGAGTTGCATGCAATGTAAATGTGTTGTACCTGGGGGAAAGTCTTCGTCTTTTTTTTTTACCTCGGAAACAGTTTTTTCGTTTTCAATATGGTCAAATGTTTGTTTCTGTGAAGACTGTGGTGTATAGTAGGTAATGAGCCATCGGCGGCTGTACCAAACCATTGTGCCTTTTTGGCAATTCTTGTTTTCATTTTAATTATAGAAGGATCAAAAGCTAAAAATCCCTCTCCTGCGTAAGGCTCCAAGTCGTTGTTGTATTTCATCTTTCCAACTTGGGTTTAGAGATTCGGTATTTGCTACAGCTTTGTGTTCTTGTATCATAAGGCTGAAATTCAAAACTACAATAGCCATACAGGATGGCGTAGATGTCATGACCCTAGCAAGTTCTAATCGCTGAACTTTGAAACATTTGAAATGAATTCAGTCGACAGTTTTTTTAACTTGTTTTTTTTTACCCAAGTCTCAGGCGACATAGAAGCATCACCCATAAATAAGAATAAAATATATAAAGCACACTGTTATAAAAATATGGCCGTATCAAAAGTAACTCTTGTTAAAATGTCTCAAAGGTTTTAATTCTCTATTTAAAGGCATCGTTTATTGTTTATCAACTTTTGAGAGAAATGGAAATGTTTTACAAAAAAAAGAGTATGACATATGTTGAGATGCAGATACGACAAAGCATTCCGCGGGAAGTTTGTACGGTCACACCATGTCCACACTGGTGGTCTGTGTGTACTCACCGGGAGATCAGTTCACTACACGTCCTCTGAGATTCGGCTAACAAACTGAAGAGACCAACCTATCCAATTTTTGATTAGGCGTCAAGTTGGCACCTGTTGTGTCGCAAAGGTGGGCCGCACCTTGAGGTCTTGGCCAACGGTTTCGAGAGGTCAACGCGCTTGTGAATGGTCTTATTTCAGTCACGTGACAAAAGAACAGGGCCAAGTTAGCTGCTATACAGATAGGTATAGTATCCATAGCCTGAACGTTTACGTACGTAGGTGAATGAAATAGTTCTGCTCACTGGAGATAAAACATGAACAGTATATCTACTTTCTTGTGTAATTTGTGCAAGGCTAAATATGGTTCAGGACAACGCGTATACATCTTAAGTAAGAGAAATAGTGTATGCTTGGGTGCGTGTTTGTGTGTCTTCTGAGAGGCTACAACCTCAGATTGATATAACTCAAGGAGTTATCAGAGCACGGTATCGTAAACTGCTATAGAAATCACTTGTGTCTAGAATGGACTCTGTAATCCGGACCTGGCCGTTAACAGAGCTTTTTTTATGGTCCCAAAAGAGTTCAAATTGAAAATATTCCACTATACATGTGTTCCCCACAACACATTCATCCTGAAGGGCAAGTGACACACTGATACAGCGGCTCCCACCACACAAACATCCTGAAGGGCACGTAGCACGCTGATATATAGGTGTCACACACACACACACACACACACACACACACACACACACACACACACACACACACACACACACACACACACACACACACACACACACACACACACACACACACACACACAGAGAAAAGGAGAAAGGAGAAAGAGAGAGAGGAAAGAGAGAGTGATAGAGAAAGAGAGAAACAGAAAGAGAGAGAGAATGAGAAAGAGAAGAGAGAGTAAGAGAGAAAAAGAGAGAGAGAAAGAGAGAGAGAAAGAGAAAGGGAGAAAGAGACACACACACCAAACTCACACCACGACACACACACACACCAACACCACCACCCACCCCACCCCACACACACACACACCCACACCTAAACACACACCCAAACACATCAACACCACCACCCACACACACACACACACACACACACCCACACCCACACCTAAACACACACCCAAACACATCCACACACCCACTCACACACACACACACACACACCAACACCTACGACCACCCACACACTCACACACACAAACCCCAACCCCCCACCCCACCCCCCACCCACCCACCCACACACACACCCACACCTACACCCACACTAACGACCACACCCACACCAACACACACACCCACACCAACCCACCAACCCACGACCCCCCCCACACACCAACACACACACACACACACACACACACACACACACACACACACACACACACACACACACACACACACACACACACACACACACACACACACACACACACACACACACACACACACACACACACACAGAGAAAAGGAGAAAGGAGAAAGAGAGAGAGGAAAGAGAGAGTGATAGAGAAAGAGAAAGAGAAAGAGAGAGAGAATGAGAAAAAGAAGAGAGAGAAAAAGAGAGAGAGAAAGAGAGAGAGAAAGAGAAAGGGAGAAAGAGACACACACACACCAAACTCACACCACGACACACACACACACCACACATCGACCAAACACACCCATCCACATCCACACCCACATACACGCACACACAGAAACACACACACACACAACCACACACAACCACACACACCACACATAGGCCAAACACATCACACACACACCACACACCATACACACACCACAGACATACCCACAGACCCCCACCCCCCCCCCCCCCCCCCACATACACACCCACCCACACCCAAACACCCACACCCAACACACACACACCCCATATACACCTTACACACCACACCCACACACCACGCCAACACACACACATCCCCCACCCACACACAACCATCCACAGATCCACACCTACACACACACCAACACACCCACGACCCCACACCAACACCAACACACGCCTACACACTAACACACACACACACCAACAAACAAACACACACACACACACACACACACAGAGACCACCACCACCACCACACATCAACACACACATACACCAACACACACACACACACACACGCACAAACACACACACACACTTACATCCACACACACACATCCACACACACATACACACAATCACATACACACCAACCCAAACACACACACTCACTCAAACACTCACACACACATCTACCACCCACACCACCACCACCCACGCCCAAACACACACCCAAACACATCCACACACATCCACACACCCACTCACACACACACACACACACACACATACACACACACACACACACACACACACACACACACACACACACACACACACACACACACACACACACACACACACACACACACACACACACCAACACCAACACCTACGACCACCCACACACTCACACACACAACCCCCCCCCCCCCACCCACCCACCCACACACACACCCCACACACACAGAACCACCCACACATCCACACCTACACCCACACTCACACAACCACCCACACCCACATACACCCACATACACCCACACACACAACCACACTAACGACCACACCCACAACCACACCAACACACACACCAACCCACCCACCCACGACTCCACCCACACACCAACACACACACACCAACCAACACACACACACCAACACACACACACCAACACACACACCAACAAACACACACACACACACACACACACACACACACACACACACACACACACACACACACACACACACACACACACACACACACACACACACACACACACACACACACACACACACACACACACACACACACACACACATATCAACGCACAGCACCGCACGCCCGAACCCGCACGCCCGCTAGTGCCAGTGTGGAAGATCATTTGATTAAAACATTCGCCAGGTGGAATTCAGACTGCTTCACCAGATACATCAGAACATCAGAAGAGACAGTAAGGACAGCCGAACGAGCATTATGCTATGAGTGACTCTTTCTTTCACTAGAGGCTTGACGATTGTGTGTGTTGTGACTTCCTGACTCTGTTCAATCTTGTTCTGCGACATTACCTGGATAATATAACTCATTGGACAATATTGGATTCAGTTTTTAATTCTCATATGTATTATATTTAACATTATCGTTTTATATCATCAATTTTATACTTTTCTTATCACTTTTGGGGCTCTTGGTTTTTACCTCGCTTTGGGCTTTGCAAGTCAATCATTCCGTAAACTATCATTTTATGGCTTGGAGCCCCCAAAGTATTTTCATTTTCACTCATACCCGCAGGGTATCACTCTTTCTACTGATTTTCATTTTACTCACACACGCAGGGTATCACCCTTTCTACTGACCCGCAGGGTTTCTAAATTAAATTGCCCGCAGGGCAACCTTTCTTATTTGGTATAACCTATTTAGATCTACCCGCAGGAAGGTAAGTATGGGGTTACCAGCGGTATGATCAATTAGAACGAGTTCATCTTTTGGCATGTAAAAGTTTTTTAAAGGTGGGAAAAGAAACGCCCAATGCCATTGTCTATGGTGAATGTTGTCGCTACCCGCTTTATGTCAATGCACAGGTCCGCATGATAAAGTCTTGGTTACAATTAACCAGAATGCATGAAGGGAGTATCCCAAGAAAAGTATATAACATGCTGATGTATTTCGACAACATTGGTCATAATACTTGGGTAGCATCTGTTCGTAACATTTTCGCATGGTTTTGGATTTGTATGGTTAAACCAGTCTGTTGGGGACAAAACAGCTTTCACTGGGGTATTTAAAACGTGTCTTGTAGATGAATTTCGTCAAAACTGGATGTCAACAATCAACAGTAGTAACCGATATGTGATATATAAAGAATATAAAAAACTGTTTGAACCTGAAAGATGTAGATGTTTCTGGTAGGCTATAGTGTAGGGGTACATGTTTCTGGTGGGCTGTAATGTAGGGGTACATGTTTCTGGTAGACTATAGTGTTTGGGTATATGTTTCTGGTAGGCTATAGTGCAGGGGTAGATGTATCTGGTAGGCTATAGTGCAGGGGTAGATGTTTCTGGTAGGCTATAGCAGAAGGGGTAGATGTTTCTGGTAGACTATAGTGTATGGGTAGATGTTTCTGGTAGACTGTTATTTAGGGTTATATGTTTCTGGTAGACTATAGTGTTTGGTTAGATGTTTCTGGTAGACTATAGTGTATGGGTAGATGTTTCTGGTAGGCTATAGTGCAAGGATATATGCTTCTGGTAGACTATGGTGAAGGGGTAGATGTTTCTGTTGAAGTATAGTGTATGGGTAGATGTTTCTGGTGGCCTATAGTGTAGGGGTACATGTTTCTGGAAGGCTATAGCAGAGGGGTAGATGTTTCTGGTAGGCTATAGTGTAGGGGTACATGTTTCTGGTGGGCTATAGTAGAGGGGTAGATGTTTCTGGTAGACTATAGTGTATGGGTAGATGTTTCTGATAGACTGTAATGTAGGGGTACATGTTTCTGGTAGACTATAGTGTTTGGGTATATGTTTCTGGTAGACTGTTATGTAGGGGTAGATGTTTCTGGTAGACTATAGTGTTTGGGCATATGTTTCTGGTAGACTGTTATGTAGGGGTAGATGTTTCTGGCAGACTTTAGAGTAGGGGTACATATTTCTGGTAGGTTTAGTGCAGGAATAGATAATTCTGGTAGGCAATAGTGAATGGGTAGATGTTTCAGGTAGACAAGGTGCAAGGGTAGATGTTTCTGGTAGACTATAGTGTATGGGTTGATGTTTCTGGTAGGCGATAGTGTAGGGGTGGATGTTTCTGGTAGGCTATAGTGAAAGGGGTAGATGTTTCTGGTAGACTATAGTGTATTGGTTGATGTTTCTGGTAGGCGATAGTGAAGGGATTTATGTTTCTGTTAAAGTATAGTGTATGGGTAGATGTTTTTGGTGGCCTATAGTGTAGGGGAAGATGTTTCTGGTAGACTATAGTGCAAGGGTAGATGTTTCCGGTAGACTATAGTGTATATGTAGATGTTTCTGGTAGACTATAGTGTAGGGGTACATGTTTCTGGTAGGCTATAGTGTAGGGGTAGATGTTTCTGGTAGGCGAT